GTAAAATTTCATTAGTCTATCTCTTTTCGTTTTCAAGATAAAAAATAAAAACATTATTTTTCCGCCATCTTTGTACCGCGATATCTCCCTAATGGTTGACTTTTGACCCAACGTTTATAAAGCAAACTATCCTTTATTTTGAACAGGGAATCACCCCCTGAAGTTTTTCGCATTTGTTTTGAAACACCCTGTATATGCAATTCTAAAAATCACTTGATAATATCTTGATGCAGCTGAATCAATCTCCTGACTATCGCGAAACTACTCGACCCTTGATCGCATTTAAAACTCCTGAAACAGATTTGCAACATTCGTAACTTAGCTTTGGCAAACGTCAGTATACTCAAGTAGAGTATTTGGGACATGCAATAATAAATTGTTGCTATAGCAATCGATGCTGCTTGCACCGACAAAGATATTTTGTAGTACTTTTGCTGATCGAAGGGGAAATGAGCCAGAAAAATCATCGGTTTCTCGTCGTTTTCGCTCATCAGTCCTATAATACTTGTGGCAACCACTAACAAACCCGCTGTCCCCCCCGCCAGTACTATAATGGCCGTGGCACATTTCTCTATGTATTTTACAATGCCCAGGTATATTTTATTTATTTCTTCGTCTTCGGATTTTAACATTTCCTTCTCTTCGTTGATCATGTACTGAATAAGTTTAGGAAATCTGCCCGATTGAAAGATAAGTCCTTTAACGCATGCCAAAGAACAGGTAATGGTGATCTGAATGTTATCGGTCAACTTTTTGACGTCTTCGTGGTTCAGTAAGAAGAAAAATTCGATGAACATGAAGAATGCCACCAGAATATACAAGGTTTGTAAAAGATAAGCGTAAAATTGGTACAGTTTTTGCCATTGGGGTTTTGAAAACAGAGGCATTCTCCATACACCGCCGATAATCATAAGCAGTTTTGCTTGGCGGAGAAGTTTTACTTGGGACATGGTTTCTAGGCGAATATAATTTTATTTTGCATGCACGGATCTGTTAAAATATAGTGAGATATGTAAGGTGTTTAATAAATAATCTGCATAAGAAATTGGTCTACGATAATACGTGTGATTACAGGGTGACTAAGGTTTTATTAAAAAAAAAGTTTAAAAAAAGGTAAGTGGAAATTTGCCAGAATAAAATTGCCCGAAAGAAAATTGCTAGAAAAAAAATAGCTGGGAAGAAAATTTCTAAGAAATAAAATGTGTACCCGCGACTTCGTTCGCGTCGAATTAATCATTTGTAATGGTGATGATAAAGCAAAGCAAGAATTTCTATTAACATAAAAACTGGATAAAATTTTCTCACATTTATGTCAGCATGAGAAAAAACAATATGGCGATATTATTATATAACTTGGTAATATTGAGAGTACATATCTCGTTGGAATTTGACTTTCGAAGAATCCGTTTGCCAAAAATAAGCTTTTTACGTCAAGCAGTTTAAGCAGAATCGTGGTTAATCAATTACCCAACTTTTTGGAACACCCTGTATGTTTTTTTAAAAATTTCAAAATATGTAAAAAAACAAAATAAATTATACGTGTTCAAGCGTTTTCCCGAAAGACTAACCGTTTTTTAAATAACAAATAGTGTAATTTTTGAAGGGCGTTTTCAGCCTCTTGGAATTTGAGATTCGAGAAACCCCCCCTTATCGAACCTCTACACCCCACAGTCAATCCGTTTGCCAAAAATCAGCTTTTTTCGTCAAGCGCTTTAAGCAGGATCGTGATTAAACAATTACCAGATTTTTCGAAACACCCTGTATACATTTTTAAAAAATCTTTAAATATGTAAAAAAACAAAATAAAAAATTTTTTTGCAAATATCTGCCAAAATACACAATTTACAAAATTTTTCTTAAAATAAAAAATGAACTTATTTATATTTTCACTAATAATAACTTATTTGTCAAGATTTTTTTAACAGTTGTTCTTACCCATATAACACACAATATCCGCAGGATATTCATAGAATGTCGGAATGTCCCATTATAAGATCATCTTATAAAGACATCTATAGGATATCCTCCAGACATCCTGAAATCCTGATGTCTCAGAATAGAATATCCTATGGATATCTCTGTCGTATATCTAATGTACATCCACCTGAGATATCCAAACATGCTCATGATAATAAAATATCCTAACAATATCGTCTAGATATTTAGGAAAAATAAATAATGTACTACTTTTTATTTTTTATATTACATAAAATGCAATAAACCATACAGATAGATATATATTACGTCAAGGCAACAAAATATCCTGTTGGTATTTTCTGGATAATCTAGATATTTATGAGCTTGGCCATCATCCCAGTAATACAGAGAATTTAAAACGCCCGCGAAAAAAATTTCCCACAATCCATCTCGACAGGTGTTTGTTTTTGCATCTACACAGTGTATTATTCAGTTCTTTGATTTAGTGAAATTCGAGGGGAATTCAGTCGTTTGTCGGTCGGATGGGCTTAAAAATGACTGAAACTGACAAAACTGGTTGAGTTTGACTTAGTTTTTTCTTATACTCATAGTTCTAGCCTTGTTGTAGCAGAAATTCTGTCCTAACCTCAACTAATGTCAAAAAACGACGAACGACTCAGGGTCTCACAATGAAAAATTTGTGACAAAATTATAGGTGAAAATTTGTTGAAAAGCGCTTGTTCTTTATCCCTAAACCCATTTTCGTGTTTGATCTATTCAAACAGAAATCCTATTTTTGTGTTTAAATTTTGAGTTTTCGGAATGTGTGGTGTTAAAAATTATACCTGTATCCTGTGTGCTAACTTTGATGTAAACTGTTGCTGCTAGACATAAACTGCTAGACTCCATAAAGGGTAGTATAATCTGATATAATACCATACGATCGAAAAAAACGGCGTCAGAGGTGGCTTGGAAATGAAGATTGCTGTTATTTTGTATGTAAAATTATATGGGGAATGTCATCGATTGTAATTTTCAAGCCAATTGAACGCCGTTTTTTTTCGATAGTATAGTATAAATTGAAAGCTCTTAACTCATACAAATAAACTTCTAAATTTTGACGCAAAATTTATTGACATAATATGTAGGTATAGTCTGTCCAACGAGAAGATCCTTGACAGTGATAGATGTGTCTGTCATTTTAATCTCAAAGTAGTTTATTTTATTTTACAAAGAAATAAGTTGGTACAACTGGAACGCATAGCAGGATGGGCAGGATATATTTAAAATTTGATTGACAAGATGACAAGTGATTACTTCAAAATATTGTGAAAAAAACTATATAAAACTGAAAAAATGTAATCGAGTTATTTTATTTAATAAAAACGGTATGTGTTAATACAAAAACAAACAAGAACAAGACACTACATACCAAAAAATATATAAAAAGAACTATTATTTACTTTCAAGCTTTATGAAACTACCCGCATTTATGATTTTATTTATCAATATAACTTATGTACAAATATTAAATTTGTAATATTCCACAGAATAAATAAAACAACATAGGTAAATAAAACAAACTATTTTATTAATAATAACACCTACCAAATTGTATACCTTAAAGGTTGATTAATTAACTTTAATCTTAATTTTTTTAAACCAGTACCTTTTGACATTATTTTTCTGCAGTACTAAAATCCATTATTTACCTATCGTGTGATGTCGATATTTTACAGCTACTCCAGTTTTAGTATGTGTTTAGTTTGATCCTTCTACCATATAATACGAGATGCACTTATCTACGACGAAATGGTATACAAACTTTATCGATGGCAACTTCATTGGTGTATAAGACTTTTTCTGCCTGGGCAGCGAGTATTAACCATAAACTGTGCTCTGGGTCTACAGTTAATTTTTCACTCGATTTTTCCTCCACTTGACTTCAAAGACACACAAAACACACGTAATAATACGAATCAAAATACCATCATCTTCCAGAACGCAGGGTATTTAACAAAAGTTGACACAAAAATTATAACCTATAATTTGGCAAGACTTTGACAAGCGTCAAAAAATGACAAAATCTAAAGAGCGAGTTCATACGCATCGGCGTCCGTGTGTCGTTCATCGTTCCGTCAAACCAACCAAATTGAAATACGATCTGTCATTTTTAAATAAACCAATAAAACTGGTTAAAAACAACACGACACGACGCATGACGGATTTATATTTAAACCCATCCATAGATAACTTAAAAATTACTAGAAACTTTTTTTAGTAAAATAAATAGATTGGTATGGGACGTCATCTGCTTTTCTTCTGTCATCGTCTGTCGAAATCTTACCTGAGAAAAAAAACAGAGTATATATTCTAGAGCTGTTAATAAAAATATCCAATGAATAACGTCAAAATGTGGCTAAATAAAACTAAATCGCGAACATTTTTACTATAAACTAAGGATGAAGTAAGTATTGTCAAATAACAGTCCTCATATAATGTCCTAAAAATATTCTATAATGCTCCCAACATCATCCTTGTATTATCCTAGAAATATCCCAAATAATCGTAAAAGGTTTGCCTAGGGGTGTCTTGAAGATTACTTTTTTTGTCCCATCTGGATATCCCATAACTATCCTCCCCTGGTTTTTGGATATCCCTAAGATATTTACTATATCTTGGTGGATATCCTCAAGATATCGATAAGATTGTGTTGTGTTATATGGGTAGTCTGTATAAACAACTTACAAATTTTGAAGTATTTGATTAATCACATTTTAGAATGTAGGACCACCCTGTTTAAGAGACTACTTCTTCTACAATTTTCTGAAGTATATAGTTTCACACTGTGATTTATAACGAGCTAGGTATGGTGCTAAGTAATCTACATAACGAAATAATATAGGTACACCTATTATAATAAGTGTTATTATATTTTTCTACGATTTTTCTTTTGCCTTGCCGTCAGATACCTATTTATCTTTTTTTTTAAATTATTGAATAAGGAAATCCAATTTGATTTTAATATTAAAAATTTATAAGATCGTACATCCAATCGATTACAACAATTACACATTTTTAATATTTAAAGATTATTTTTTGCATTTGAGTGTAGTAAATGTAATTAAATACATATTTAGTTTACTTTGATTTTGATTTAGTTTTATGTAAAATTTACGGTATTTTGTTATTGGCAAATTATAATTAAGTGCTTTTTATTGATATGCTGATTATCTCTTATGATAAAAGATAAATCTAAAGCGCTACACGGATCTTAACATGCAGAAGTACGAATATTTTATTTTGAATCATCTAGTTTTCAGAAAATGTTTAAAAATACTCTTGCATTACTTTTATTTGTTCTAGCCTGTCAGGTATGTCTTTATTTGATTAGATACTCTTCTTTTATACAGGGTGATACAGTTTATAAAAAAGGTTAATTTTTTCATGTGTTTTTGTAAAATTTCGAATGTTATAAAATTATGTGAAAATCTGAATTAGAACACCTGATATGGGGCTTTTGCAGATACACTCATGGATCACCCTGTATATAACCAAATTGTGTGTGCACTATGTGCGCATATTTGAGGTGGAACTTCTTACTAACAGCTATTAAATTGACATGTTTGAAATGTTGAAAAAGTAATAAATTATACAAAAAATACGCATAAAAAATAGTTTTTGGGTGTATTAAATAGTTTTTTACGTGTAAAAATAGTTTTTTTACGTGTAACAAATAGTTTTTTATACGTGAACAATATTTTTTTGGTAGTAACAAATAGTTTTTTTACGCGTAAAAAATAATTTTTTCATTTATTACTTTTTCAACACTTCAAACTACCCTTTTTCAAGCATGTTCTTCAAATCCTCTAGTTTAATAGCTGTTAGTAAGAAGTTTTACTTCAAATATGCGCACATAGTGCACACACTATTTTTATTTTTAATTTTCTATAGTCGTATGCTGATAGTGACCAGGAGAAACCGGTTGAAAATATAGTTGATTATATAAAAAATGCCTACCACACATTGTTGCAAAAAGTTGAAGAAGTTATCGAGGATTCCAATTCTACTTTAAATTCTGCTTTGAATGAGTTAAGAGATGTTGCCACAGATGTCGAATTAGCAGTAAAATACAAAATAAATGGGACATTTGCCCAATTCCAAGAAGAAATGGATAAAATTAACGAAATGGCCGAAGAACGAGGTTGGTAAAGAACCCGAAACTTTAAAAACACAGCGTGTCTGGACCCATGCATGCTTATAGTTTTTGTTTTTGTTTTTGTTTTTGTTTTTGTTTTTGTTTTTGTTTTTGTTTTTGTTTTTGTTTTTGTTTTTGTTTTTGTTTTTGTTTTTGTTTTTGTTTTTGTTTTTGTTTTTGTTTTTGTTTTTGTGTTTTTTTTTTTTTTTTTTTTTTTTTTTTTTTTTTTTTTTTTTTTTTTTTTTTTTGTTTTGTTTTTGTTTTTGTTTTTGTTTTTGTTTTCCTGTTTCTGTTCTTTGTTTTTGTGTTTTGTTTTTGTTTTTGTTTTTGTTTTTGTTTTTGTTTTTGCCCCTTTTGTTTTTGTTTTTGTTTTTTCTTTTTGTTTTTGTTTTGTTTTCTTGTTTTGTGTTTTGTTTTTGTTTTGTTTTTTGTTTTTTGTTTTGTTTTTGTTTGTGTTTTTGTTTTTGTTTTTGTTTTTGTTTTTGTTTTTGTTTTTGTTTTGTTTTTGTTTCTTTGTTTTGTTTTGTTTTTTGTTTTTGTTTTTTTTTGTTTTTGTTTCTTTGTTTTTGTTTCTTTGTTTTCATTTTGTTTTTGTTTTTGTTTTTGTTTCTCTTTGTTTTTGTTTCTTTTGCTTTTGTTTCTTTTTTGTTTTGTTTCTTTGTTTCTTTTTTTCTTTTGTTTTTTGCTTTTGCTTTTGTTTTTGTTTTTGTTTTTGTTTTTGTTGATATTTTTTGCAATAAATACCGTCCTAAGGGTAGTTTACTCTTGACTCAAAAAATATCACACCCCATTAAAACGTACGTCTATGAGGTATCATATTTCTTCCCTGGGCAAAATGTACGTCTTATAGCCATACAGTCTCCTGCCAAAAATGAAAAAGATCGCTCAACAAACAACCAAGATATTGGCATGTATCCATCTTAAGTGGGACACCCTGTATATTTTTTTGAACATTCCATAGATAGAGATCACATCACACATCTACAATTTTTTAGGTATAGATATTGAAAACTGTAGAAACTACGAGTTGGAACTCAATCAACTTCCCAACAAGATCCTGGACGAAGTACTGAAATGCACAACAAGCATTATCGATCAAGTTCAGGTCAATGCTACAACAGCATTGAACAAAGCGTCCCAAATAGTGCAAGACTTCGACAGCATCGAAACCAAAATTAACGAATGCAGCACAACTGCCAAACCCAACGATTGCTACAACAAATTGCTGGCCAAATTGGAGATGGACGTCATAGATGGACCTAAACAAATTGAAAAGTATATTCAGCAAGCTGTCAAAACAATTACCGAATCCAAGGAAAGCATTCAACAATGCGATACAAATGTTGTGAAGAGTATACCGGAGCAAGCTGCAGAAATTCTTGATGATTTTGCTCTTTGTTTACTGGTGGATCATACGAATCACGTGTGAATGAAAGATATATTTGAAATAAATATAATTTGTTTTACACAGTGTCACATGCTTTTTTATTTATTGACTAGCGTGTACCCGCGACTTCGTTCGGGTCGAAATAATCATTTGTAATGGTGATGATAAAGCAAAGCAAGAATTTCCATTAACATACAAACTGGATAAAATTTTCTCACATTTATGTCAGCATAAGAAAAAACAATATGGCGATATTATTATATAACTTGGTAATATTTGAGGGGTAGTTTCATCTCGTTGGAATTTGACTTTCGAAAAATCCGTTTGCCAAAACCTAAGCTTTTACGTCAAGCAGTTTAAGCAGAATCGCGGTTAAGAAAATTACCCGAACCTTTTTAGAACATCCCTGTATGATTTTTTTAAAAAATTTCAAAATATGTAAAAAAACCAAATAAATTATGCTTGTCCAAGCGTTTTCCCGAAAGACTAACCGTTTTTTAAATAACAAATATTGTAATATTTGAGGGGCGTTTTCACCCTCTTGGAATTTGAGATTCGAGAAACCCCTCCTTATCGAACCTATACACCCCACAGCCAAAAATCAGGTTTAAACGTCAAGCAGTTTAAGCAGAATCGTGATTACTCAATGGTCATATTTTATGAAACACCTTGTATAAATTAATAAAAAATCTTAAAATATGTAAAACAACAAAATGAAATATACCTGTTTAAGAGTTTTTCCGAAAAACTCACCGGTTTTTAAATAAAAAATATTTTAATATTTGAGGGATAGTTTTACCGCCTTAGAATTCGAGTTTCGAAAAATCCCTTCTTATCGAACCTCTACACCCTAAAGTCAATCTGTTTTACAAAAATGAGCTTTTTACGCCAAGCGCTTTAAGCAGGATCGTGATTAATCAATGACCAGATTTTTCGAAACATCCTGTATACATTTTTAAAAAATCTTAAAATATGTAAAAAAAAACAAAATAAAATATACGTGTTTAAGCGTTTTGTTGGAAACTTGACCGTTTTTTAAATAAAAAATATAGTAATATTTGAGGGATGGTTTCACCCTCTTGGAACTGGAATTTCGAAAAATCCCTTCTTATCTAACCTCTACACCCTAGAATCAACCTGTATGCCAAAATTGAGCTTCTTACGTTGAGTGGTTTGAGCAGGATCGTGATTAATCAGTATGTCAGTCACTTAAGGATTTTATATGTTAGCACAGATAACACATAATCCAGATGGCCATTGCTTACGGAACAGCATGTTTTCGATGAGACAGTTCCCTATTAATGACACAGAGGGCGCCTATAGCCAAATTAATAATATTTTTAAAACGAACGAATTTGGAGTCACGCCACGGCCACGCGATGTGAAGCGACGTAGCCGGTTGTTCACATTTATAAGCAAATTCCCGGTCAAACCCAGGGAAAATGTATATTCGGACTTTAATACTAGACAATTGGATATGAAAATACTAGTCGCAGTGGATGTTTGAAAGTCAGAATTTGTGTTATCTGTGATATTAGTATAGATTTAGCTGAATATGTTATTTCTGGTGTTAGTTTTAGCTAAGAATACTTAAATGCTCCTGATTTTATCTATTCTGGATTTTTTATGTGGATATGTTAAAGACAGTGTTTACAAAACTCGACCAACTATTGTCGACAACATGAGAGTAATTATTGTAGCTGCTTTTCGAGATAACACTCCACATATGCCTTTTAAAATGAAAAGATCCTTTTGAAAAGACAATCATTTTATGCAGTTAACAGGAAAGGAAACATTTTGAGGATTTGATTTCATCTAGCTAATTTTTGTCACATAATTATAGGTTTATATCTAGTTTTAATTCTGTAATAATTAAAATATGTTTTAAACATGTATCTTTTTATTACCTTTAAGTATTTGACTCTACATTCTTTATTTTTTGTTAAATTAGCAAAAGGTATATCCACAGACTAACGTATATCACAGCCACCTATATTTTATCAAATAATAAAGATCTACTGATGCAAAATCATAAAAATGAAAATATCTAGGAAAAATTTTGTCTGAGGGGTAGGCAACCTTAATAATATTTTGAAGATATATAAATTCCCCATTGAAAGCCGGAATAATAACTGGGTGTTCTATTTAAAATAAAGGAGTAACTTGCTTTTAAAAGTGACTAATGTTCCATAATAATTTTGTCTCACCCTATATATCTTTTCGGGTCAAATTTCAATTTGGTTTAACATACAATGGTTACTGTAATTAAATATCAGGCTATACAAGGTCAACTAAAATTTAGGTAGCTGTTATCGAAATTTAAAATTTACTCTTCATTTTCACAAAATGTGAAATATGTCAAAATCCTTAGATTTTAGGTATGTGCTTCTTTAATAAAATTGACCTTTATTTTTGGATTCTAGGAAATCAATTAATATATAGGGTGTTCCAATAGAAAAAACACAAATTTGATGTGTAACTTTTTTTAGGGACGCCCTGTATAATTCTATATATTTTTATAAAATGCTTTCAGTTAACCTGGCATGACATGCCCAATGGGTCATATTTTAACATAGCGAATTTGCGCATCTCAATAGTGTACCTTTTTCATTTTATATTCGTTTAAAAATTTGCCCCATCTCAAATACTCCAATTCTTCGTTATGACGAAGAGACGTATGTTGAGATAGAGCTCTTTGTTATGTCAATTATTGTTATACCAATTGTTATACCACAAGAAAGATGGAATTTGAGATAGGTCCATTTGTTTTAAGATATGAAAATGCATGCTAGAGAAAATCATACCATTCTACCTAATTATTTTCTGACGGTTGCTTGGGACAAAATAAAACTTCTATCATGGCAGCAGCTCTCTTTTACAGTCTATTTTTTGCCAAAAACCATTGTTAAAATGAGCTAGACTCTGCACATAGCTGTATCGGGTATGCAAAAGATTGTCCGAGAATAAATGGCCGAATAAAAGGAAAATTTTGATCGAAAGCAAAACAACGAAACGAAAATTGTCCTAATTAAAAAAAAATCCCGAAATCATAATTTCTCTAAGAACATTTTAGCGAACCAAAAATTTGCCCGAAAAATACAATAATTTTTATCTCATCATTGTCAGGCCATTGGCATTGTCATCCCTACCAATTTTTGAAAAATTTTATTTTGTCTATCATCATCCAGCATAAACACATAGAATGGAAGTCGAATTTGTTATTATTGAACAGGGAAAACAGAAACTGTTACTCCACAGTTATTTGTATAAAAAAAAACGAATGAAGAAACATGTTTTGTTTTTGTTTAGTTTGGTTTTTATTATATGGACCGTGAGTTTAAATGCCCTGTATTAATGCCCTCAATTAACTAAAAAATTACTATAAATATATTAGTTAAAAATGCATTTTTGTATAAAAAACAATATTATTAAAATAAGCTAGATAAGAGTATTTTAATTGATTATTGTCTTTGCTTCTGGCATGAAAATTGTCTTTGTTTTCAATTGATCTAATCCAACGCGAATAAAAGTACTTAAAAATATTTGTTTCTGATTTTTTGGCGGTTTTCAGATTTTTTCTTGTATGTATGTATTGTATTTTCTTGTAAGAAATTCCATAATGTGAATATTGTATCATTTTTTTTCTTATTAAGAACACTTTACCGTCATTTTTAAATTTATTTTACATGGGCGTTTCTATACTATTCGTTCGGAAATAAATTTATTATTATTATAACAAAAAGGCCTATCTCTATTAAACAACTAAAAATAAATTATTTATTAGAATTTACGCTCAATTTATCTTCAGAACGTTTCCTCAATGTTTCCGTTTAAGTGTTAATACAAAAACACTATTAAAAAATTAAAGACTTTACATTTATTGGCCAAATAAAGTAAGAGATTCTCTTTAAACTGCTCTCCTGAAAAGTAGCAAAAATCGAGATATGCCTTTTCGTCATAAAGCCGACTATATGCTCCCAAAATTTTATTTCGATATAAACTACCGTTCTCCTTGGAGCTTCCGCGGCGTATGAGGGGCGCCACACTGTATGTAGTAAAAACATTACAAAAATTATGGCGAATGCGCCAGGTTCAGAGCTCTTGAAGCGGGTTTTAAAATTAAATCGAAATCAGGCTTAAAAAGATAAAAAAAATTGATAAAAATATGCTTACCTGTGAATAATTTATTGAAACCTCTACACCGTTTCTTGGCAATGGATAAAAACAACGTTTTATAGAGATCATTAAACCGAGGGTAGGACAATGTCCTTTTGGCCAGGTATACAAACAGTCATTTTGAATGCAGGATCTGAAACCTGAAAATAAACATACAAAATACTTTGATTTTGTTTTTTATTTGCCTACATTTTAAATTCTGGTCTCATTTGCATAAGATACCTTTTAGTACACTCCCCTGCAAAAGATCTACCTTAACCTACAGGAGGCCCTCTCTGTTGATTCCCGCATCTTTTATAATTTTTTCAAATACTACACTAAACAGTACTGGAGATAGTGGATCCTCCTGTCTTAATCCGTCCCTGATTATAAATTTTTCCGTTGTTTTCTTGTTTACTTTGACTTCATTTACTGTCTCTTGGAGTGTCAATTTTATCATCTTGGAAAAAAAGCTACCTTAACCTTCTTAAATTTTTTATCAAATTATAATGTTTCATGAAGTTTTGATTGAACGAATGAGGAAAGAATTATTCTTTCTTGAGGAATAATGAAAATAAACTTCTGTAGAGTCTTGTGGTTGCCTACGTTGCACGACAACGAAGAAAAGTTGAAAACAATTAAGGCGGTGAAATTTTTGGCGGGCAGTATATATATTTGTTTTTTAGAAGAAATATTCTCCAAACCAAAATATTCAACAAAACCTCTTAACATTTTTTAGTTTAATGTTTTGTTATCATTCATTATTTCATGCAAAGAGGTTTACACAAAAAAAATTTGATTTCATTTTTACATAAATATTCTATGTTATCTATGTGTGTGTATCTATGCTGTTTGAAAATTTCTTAAAAGATAAAGTTTAAAAATAAATTTGATTTAATTTTGTTCTGCAAATATTTACTTTAAATGATAATTATTTGAAGTGCTTATTAGTATTCTGTTTGCTTTTTGTGTATATTATACAGAATACTACTTTAGACTAAGTGGACCCTAAATCTGAAAGCAGCACAATGATCTAACACCCAAAAATATAATAATGTTATAGGTAATTATTTATATCTCCAAAAAGTCCTCTATGGGTATTTCGCCGCTGCAAGAAAATCTACAAAATAAAATAGTTATTTTTCGTAAACACTTCTGCGTTAATCAAAAATGGAAACTAGTTAATAAGTTAATACACAATATACATACATACATACAACTTACAATTCCATACATACGAGGCGTTTCGGAAAAAATAAGAAGGATAGGAAAACAATATAACATACGAACATCTTTCAAAACTCAAAATACACTTAGATCCATTTTATCACATACTAAACCAATGAATACAGAACAACAAACAAAAAATATCAAATACCATGCGAATGCGTTAAATTTTACATTGGTGAAACATCTAGACCCTTAAACGTTCGAATTAAAGAACATAAAGATTATTATTTAAGAAAAATGCTGACAAATCTAAGATTTACAGCCATTACTCGCTGACGAGTATTCGACTGTTGACTGAAGTGATTCGACTGTGACTGAAAAGCCCGATATGTGATGTTATCTACCTACCGCACTCCGGACATTCAAAAATCTCATTGCTTTGTCACAAATTACCTATAACAGATGCGAAAGAAAGCGACTGCATCGGAAACCGCTCGGCAAACCCGACACGCCTATTGAGTGGTGTAAATACACCAGTCGTTTAGTCCGGAAACCTATGCTGTGTCGTATTCGCTTGCTGGAATGACATAGTGCGTGGTTATATGTTTCTTTTTAAAAACGCGTTTAGGATTTTTGTTGAACTTTTGAACTGTTATTTCTAAGTTTTGGTAATTTGTATATCTTATTTAAAATGGGATGCAAATGTGTTTATTTATAAGGAAAAAAAAGATATTTATAGTATAAAAAATTAATTTATTTAACAAAATTTAATTAAAAATGCGACAAAATAGTTACCTTTCTATTGGTTCTATCGGACATTTTTCGACTATATAAATCTTTATTTGTAAACTTTAATACATCAAATATTTTCAATTTAATAAATCATTTAATGATGTAAATAAGAGGAAATTTCTCACATGGGTGGTCAAATTTTATAGTTTTCATTATATCAAGTCAATGATTGTAGAAAACCCTGTCTTTTAATTTCCAGAATGCTCTTGAGGCGCTGCTAATCCTGTGCTGAATTTCAGAATCGATATTGGCCTTTTCCTAAATCAAACTGCCGAGCTAATTGAATTCCGCCACATATTCCAATAGTTCTTCTCCGATTTTTATAGCATTGTTGTAATCTTCCGGGGGAGTGCACATGATTTTAGTTTTGTCGATGTTTAGCTTAAGGCCCAAAGCCTCGTATGCCCAGGTATATGTGTTCAACATTTCTTGTAATTGTTGTATTGTGTTTGCAATAGTCATCAGCGTATTGAAGTTCTGTGATGAATTTTGTACGTGTGTTTGCCCTGAGTCTTTTTATGTTGAACAGACCGCCGCGCCGTCGTATCTGTATCTAATGCCCAATCCTCTCTGCTGCAGTTTGCTGTCCACTATAATGGAGAGCGCTGCCATGAATATGTTGAATAGAAGAGGCGCTAAGACACATCCCTGCCTAACTCCTGTATTTGTTAGGAATGGGTCGCTCATTGATCCATGATGTGACTTGTTGTTGTTATGGAGGCTTTTACACACTGTAAGAAATTTGTTGGGTACTCCGAACTTTTCCATAATTGCCCAAAGCGCATCTCTGTTCACAGAGTCGAAGGCTTTTGTTAGATCGACGAATGCAACATAAAGTTTAGACTGCTGCTCTTTTACTTTTTTCTGTGGTTGGCGGATTGAAAATATGGAATCGACGGTGCCGCGGTTGGTACGAAAACCTGTTTGCGATTCTGGAAGGATTTTTTCTATATATGGGTGCAAGCAGTTTGACATAATTTTTCCGCCGATAGCCAATAGTGAAATTCATCGGTAATTTCCGCAGTCTAATGCACTTCCTTTGTTCTTAAATATATTCACTATATTCGCGTTGCGAAAGTCCCGAGGTACCTCTCCACTTTTCCATACGACATCGAAGAGAGCCTTAAGATGACCAATAAGTTCTTTACTTGCACACTTGTAGATTTCCGCCGGAATCGCGTTACAGCCAGCTGATTTGTTGTTTTTAAGCTGTTTTATGGAGGTCTTTATTTCCTGTTCTGTTATTGGGATGTCTAGTACATCGAGGCTGTTATACTGAGGTATTGTGTTTAGTGCTTCCATATTGGGGTTGTTTTCTTGGTTAAGGATATGGCTGTAATGTTTTTTCCAGCGATTTCTGATTTGTTCTTCCTCTTTTAGAAGTTCGCCATTTTGTGCCTTGCAGCTTACCTTCTTGGTTGGGCCGTATACTTCTTTAACAGCCTCGAAGAATTTACAATAATCGTGATGCGCGGCGTACTCTTGAATCTGATTCGCTTTTTGTGACCACCAGTTATCCTTTACTTGGCGCAGTTCAATTCGAAGCGTGTTATTGGCTACTTTAAAGTTGTCTACCAGTCTTGGATTATGTGGATTTGCAGTGACTGCTTGATGTGCTCTATGCTTTTGTTCCAACAAAGCCTGTATATGCGGTTGATTTTCGTTAAACCAGTCTGGTTTTTTCTTTTTGTTTGACTTTCCCAGTACTGCTTTGCTGATTTTATGAATCGCATCCAATCATGATTGTGTCCAGCCATGTTTAGCTTCCAAGATTGAGATTGAAGTTATCGGTGGAAGTGATTCTTTAATGGCTTCCCGGATGGCGTCGGCGGTATTGTTGTTCTCTAGACCCCGTACGTTCAAAAGTCCTGAGGTACCTCTCCGCTTTCCTATATGACATCGAAGAAGACATCCTTTCTTAAATTAAGAAATTAATTAATAAACAAGCAGGATTTAGAGCCGGAAGATCGACGGTGGACCACTTATTTACAGTCACTCAAGTAATAAGTAAAAAGAGCAATATAAACCAAGAGCTACATCTTGTGTTCGTGGACCTGCAGAAGGCATACGACAGCGTTCCCCTTGTGAGACTTTGGGAAGCTATGGAAAAAAACAATATAAATGTAGAGCTAATAAAAGCAGTAAAATCATTATATAAGCAAACAAAAACTAGAATAAAAGTCGGCAAAAAGTTAACAACAGGATTTAATGGAACCAAAGGTCTGAGACAAGGGTGCTGTATTTCACCAACACTGTTCAAGATATATCTCGAAAAAGTTCTCAAAGGTTGGAAGCAAAAATGTAGAAATATGGGAGTACCCATAGGGGATAACATGCTCTACACACTTTGCTTAGCGGACGATCAGGTGATCATAGCACAAGATTACGATGACATAAATTATATGACACGTAAGCTTATAGAAGAATATCAGAAATGGGGACTCGAGATCAATACTAACAAAACATAATATATGTGTATCGGAGGAGAACAACAAAATCTAATACTAGAAGAAGGGAAGAAAATTAAGTACTGCACAAAATACGAATATTTGGGTATGCAAATCATAAATGATGGACTGTTGGATACAGCAATTAAAGAACGAAACCAACTTGGAAGGAATGCTATCACGGTATTGAATGGGATAGTGTGGGACAGAAGCATAAACAACAAGAACAAAACTCTAATATATAATACCATCATTAAGAGTATAACCACGTACAGTTGTGAAGTGTGGCCAATTAAGGAAACAACAAAACGAATGCTGGAAGCTATAGAGATGGATTTTTTTTCGAGAAGATCAGCAGGCAAATCAAGACTCGAGCATATAACTAATGAACGCATAAGAGAGATTAGGGAAGTTAAACATACGATAGTGGACGACATAAAGAACAGTCAACTCATATGGTACGGGCATGTCCAAAGAATGGCAGAAATAAGAATCCCAAAGCAAATTAAAAACTGGAAACCTGCAGGAAGAAGAAAACCGGGTAGACCGAGAAGAAGTTGGCAGGAAGGGATGGACACATATATATATATATATATATATATATATATATATATATATATATATATATATATATATATATATCATATATATATATATATATATATATATAGTATATATATATATATATATATATATACAATCGGTTTAATACGTTCAACCTCTTCCGATGCCAGCTCTCCATGCCTGTCTGTCTCTCCATGCACCGTCTCCGAGAGATCTTTCCTCCATAAACGTATATTTTTATTTTTAAATATAGTCTGTATTTTTTTCATTTTTTAGAGTATCATTTTTTTAGAGTATTCTAAGATGCCCAATATATATATATATATATATATATTATATTGGGCATCTTAGAATACTCTAAAAAATGATACTCTAAAAAATGAAAGAAAAAAAATACAGATTTGTATTTAAATACAAATATATATATATATATATATATATATATATATATATATATATATATATATATATATATATATATATATATATATATATATATATATATATATATATATATATATATATATATATATATATATATGTATATATATATACGTTAAAAAATGATACTCTAAAAAATGAAAGAAAAAATACAAATTTGTATTTAAAAAATAAAAAACTGATGAAAGCAACCTCGGAATTTTTAGAGACACCCCTGTATATCATCTTCTTTGTTACTTAAAATATGGTTTAATATAATTAATAATTAATTTTTTATAGTTTGAGTGCAACTCATCTTCAACTCATCAAGTTTGTTGTAGTCATGTTCGTTATACTGTTGTTAAACTATACAACGATGTATGACAAACAAAAAATCGAGAAAATTTGTTGTCTAATTATTTATTTCCAATCCTATTGGACACCATCTTGAGGACTTTGTTTTCACGAAACCCCGATAATCAGCTGACGCTACACAGGTAAACATTTTTTATCAATCAATTAGCTCTCGTGTTTGTTATTTTATTTTGATTATCTCATCTATCTCTTGACTATTTCCTTATACACAATTGATATAAAAACTCTTCATCGGTTCCAGTTTTTGTCATTGCTTGGTTGTAGTCTTTCAGAGTAAGTTACTATAAGGTTTCGATTTTATATGATTTTTCTAATAAATATTTCTTTTAAAGCAACATGAGGGCGATTTTGGGTGTTTTGGCAGTATCCTGCGTGGTGTGTATCCATGCCGGTACATACACCGACAGATTTCTGGAACAATACAACAAAATCCATAACTCTGCCAACGGGTACTTTTCCTCTGAGGGTGTGCCGTACCACAGCGTGGAAACCCTGATCGTTGAAGCTCCAGACCATGGACACCAAACCACCTCTGAAGCCTTCAGTTACCATATCTGGCTTGAAGCGATGTACGGAGCTATCCAAGGAGACTTTTCTTCGTTCAACAGTGCCTGGGACACTTTGGAGAAGTACGCTATTCCCGCTTTGCAAACAGCTAATGGTGCTTACAATCCTAGCAAGCCGGCTACTTTCCAAGCCGAATGGGACACTCCCAGCGAGTACCCATCTCTGTCTGACAGCAGTGTACCAGTAGGTCAGTAATTAAAGTCATACACGTTAAAACAGAGCTGCACCAAATCAGTTTTAAATATGCAGCATTTTAAATATGCAGCATACTTATGCAGCTCTGGTTTAAAAGTTATACAGGGTGGCGCACCTTATTCACCTCGGTTGATTATACGAAAACCGAAAGATGTAGAAACAAAAATATTTTATGGGTTTGGGGAGTCAATGTGCACAATTTAAAATTATTTTGAAATATACAGCGTGTTTCAGAACTAAGATCCATACCAAAGTTATATTTTTTCTTATGGAACACCCGGAATTTTATTTCAATTTTAGATTCTTGGGCTGAAAAAAGGCATTTATTATAAGGGTTAAATATGTGTAAAATCTTTTTTTTGAGATATTTAAAGATTTTTAAATATGAGTGCTACAATAGAATAGACTATCAACACCCTGTACATTACTTTCCAGAATTAATTCTTGTGCTGAGTTTAAAGGTAGAGAAATAAACTTTACTGAAAAAATTTAATGCTTTCTTAAATTTATACAGGGGCACCAAAAATTGCTGATCTATTTTAAATATTTATTTTATATAAAAACTTCGTTATTTCAAATGCAACACTCTGTATTTTTTAAAATAAATCGAAACAGATTTTAATGCTCTTTTAAACTATATTAGGGTTTCCTATATTTATCTAGCTCAGATTTTGAATAAAAAGTAATATTTCAATGAAATGGCAATCAAGATGGTTCGTGTCGCCATAACAATTAGTTAGTAACTATTTTCAAAATCGATATTAGTCTATGAACAGTATTATTTAGATTTATAACAGTTTACTTAAATTTACCCATAATAATTTAATAAGTAAGTATTAATTTTATTTTATCAAGAAAAATAAAGCAGTATCTGCTGGCGGAACAAATGGATATGTCCGAGGATATGTCACTAGTGATTTTATTTTATTTCTTGGCCAAAGATATCCAAATAGGAATGTTCCTGATAAGCGTTCTTTTGAAAAACTACTTGTCCTATTTCGCAGAGCTGTTAGTGTGGTTTATAAAAAACCTATTAGACAGAAACCTGTCGTTGGAAGTAAAGAAAATAAAATTGCCGTAATTGGCTCTTTTATAGAAAATCTATATATCTTCAACTCATCGTAAAATAAATCAAAGAACTACTTCTTCGTTCTTCTTGATAGAATAATAAATACATATTTAATAAATATTATTTATTAATCTATTGTAGAGGTAAATTAAATAAAAGTAAACTGCTATAAATTTAAAAATAAAAGTCGATAAGCTACTAACTGTCACTAAAAACTTGCCATGACGACACCAGCCCTCTTGGTTGCCATTTTATTGAAACATTGCTCTTTATTCAAAATCTGAGCTAGATGAGTATAAAAAACCCTAATATAGTTTGAAAGAGCGTTTGAATCTCCTTCGATTTATTTAAAAAAAATACAGGGTGTTGAATTTGAAATAACGAAGTTTTAATGTAAACTAAATATTTAAAATAGACCAGCAATTTTTGATACCCCTGTATACATTAAACGAAGCAATAGAATTTTTCAGTAAAGTTTATTTCTCTGGCTTAAAAGTCAGGCACAAGAATTAATTCTGGAAAGCAATATACAAGCTGTTGATAATTTTTTTATATATTATATTATAGCATGCATATTTAAATATCTTTAAATATTTCAAGAACTTGTAAACATATTTAACCCTTATAATAAATGCCTTATTTTGTGTCCAAGAATCCAAAAATGAAATAAAATACCAGCAGGTGCTCCATAAGAAAAAATATAACTTCGGTGTGGATCTTAGTTCTGACATACCCTACATGTACATTTCAAAATAATTTTAAATTTTGCACATTGCCTTCTCACATATCCCCGTAAAATATTTTGTTTCTACATCTTTCCATTTTCGTATAATCAACCGAGTCGAATGAGGTGCGCTACCCTGTATAAGCAAAAAACATTGCAAAAAAAATAAACTGTGTTTCGAACACAAAATCAAATATTTTGAGAGTAAAATAACTTTGATTTCAGGTCAAGATCCTATTTCTGCTGAACTGAAGAGCGCCTATGGTTCTGATTCTTTATACTCCATGCACTGGCTTTTTGACGTTGACAACGTGTATGGATTTAGCAACACTCAAGGCCAATGCGAAGACGGTGGTAGCGGACCATCCTTGTTCAACAACTACCAAAGAGGACCTGAAGAATCTGTCTGGAGAACCATTCCTCAACCTACCTGTGATCAATTCAAGTAAGGTTTATTTTTTGTCTTTAAATTATTATTTTTGATGTCCAGTACCTCTACTTTATACTTACACCACGGCATATAAATCACTGGCAGGCCAACTCGCTTTGGCGGCCTGGCGGGAACGCTACGCGCATATTCTAGCGCACGCCGCCATTATGGGTATAAACAACAGAAATTAACCTTAAATTAACCAGTGTCGTAGTCAGTCGTAGTCTTTGTCATCGAGAACATACAGTTACGGCAGCTTTGAGTCAGTAGCGTGCGGCTTAATTTATTTCATTCTTTTCTTGAGTGACATATTTTGTTTTTTTATTTTTGTTTATTGTGTGTGGTATATTTGGTTTTTGTAGTTTAGTAGTACAATGGAAGTCCGAAGTTCTTTTAGTTTTAATACTCAATCATTGCCTACGGCATTCAAAGTAATTTTTATTATTAGGTATCCTACAAAATGACAAATAAGATTCATTTCTAAATTACTGTTCTTCTGATTATCCGTATCTATTTTTAATTTTTATGGATAGCTCATGACAATTCAGAGAGAAAAGAACAAAGGTCTCGTTGTTTTTTATAATAATGTTACGGATTCCGACGTAAACAATAAGGTCTGCCGTTTTTAATAAGATGTTTGCCAGATCATTTTGGCAATTTTCAGTACCCGTGTGTAATATTCGGACACAAAGTTTTTTAAATGTTCTTTTAAACTGGATGAATTTATCCTGGATGGGAATAATGATAGGTTTACAAGATATTGGAATTACAAGATAAAGTTGTCGTACCAGATTTTTATGAGTGCAACTGTACACTCAAATCTCGCGACAAGCTTTTATATAATATAAAATTCTGTAATGACGTTATAAGTCCATAATAAAAGTTTTTTTTTCTTTTTAATGTATTTAAATAAAACCTTGTTTTTAAAAAGTTTTTTTTCTTAAATTTATTTTTTACTTTTTAGTTATGCTGGTTTCTCAGTGCCACACACTTAAACTCAATTCTTTTTCTTAAATAACTTCCTATGGGCATCCTAATAATATGTATATCGATTTTCATTAAAAAAGGAGAACTTAAAAAAAACGACAGCTGTCAAATTTGACAGTTCAAATGTGAGACAAATAAAATGAAAACCGACTATGGGGTAGGGAGCATCCAATATATCGATTTTTATCAAAATCTGACAACTTTGAGATTTTTTTGACAGCTGTCAAATTTGACAGCTCAATTTTTTTTCTTTCATTTTAGCCCATGGCCATCCTATATATCGATTTTTATCAAAATCGGACAACTGTGAACTTTTTTTGACAGCTGTCAAAAATTCGGGTCATGCCTTGCAAGAAAATGTATTGTCATCGGGACTGAACCTACATGCCAAATTTCAATTTCCTACAATGAAAGGAAGTGCTTCTAAAGATTTGCCCCGAACAAACATACATACAAAGCAAGTTAAATAAAAGCTTGTAAAATAAGCTAGGGACTGCTTTCCATTGGTAGAGATACCTCTTACCATAATAACATTAGACACCCGAGCTGGTTTAAACTCTCTGTTCCCCTTCTGGTCCTCAAAACCTACAATATTATCACGACCACTATTATAAAATAAATTGCACTTGATGATATTATTATTATATTATGATGAATATTAACAAAATTTGCTATATCCATTGATGGACATAATTTGTACGTAGCCTCTTTAGATTGTTCAATAAATATTGTATTGGGTATTTCTTTAATTCTTGTTTGTAACTCCTGGTATGTTTTTTAATTTTATTGTCTATTCTCTACAGTTAAATGTTTAATTGATTTTTTCATTGTTACTTTTTGAGGAGTATGCGCGGTTAACGATTCATTTGTTTAGATAAAAGTATTGTGTAAATAAAATTTAGTTTCAGTCAATTACAGTATTTTTTTTAATACGACCCTGTCTATCAATAGTTTATTTTCTGGGAAATTTTTTGATACGTTTTAATCCGGCCCTGACTCGGCACCCATAATGGTGTTTTCAAGGTCAAATTTTATAGACATTTAAAATGGGATGGGATCTGGGCAGAGTTAGCCTGCCGTGTGATTTATATGCCGTGCTTACACTATGCGTGACTATGCTTAAATTCTAATCTTAATTCATATATATGGAGGACAAAATGGATTCTTGGACTTGTTCACCAAAGACAGTTCTTATGCCCACCAATACAAGTACACAGCAGCTCCTGATGCCGATGCCAGAGCTGTCCAAGCAGCTTATTGGGCTGCCCAATGGGCCACAGCCAATGGACAGATCAGTAGTATCTCCAGCACCTTATCCAAAGCAGCCAAAATGGGTGATTACCTCAGGTACAGATTTTTAAACAGTTCGTTTTTGTTTCCATCCGTTCAGATATAGTATACACCAAAGACATCAAATGAGTAGACAGAACACTCCATTCATAAAACTCAGTTTTTTTAATCATACATGGTTTGACACTTTTATGACAGTTAAAAAGAGATGGGTACATAAATATGATAACACGGTTGAGTTTCGTCTATCTTTCTGTCATTTGCCTCTATCAGTGGCGCGATGTTTTTTTTGTTATCAAAAATTGATTGGGATTGCCTCAGACCAATTTTTCATTATAACTAGTTTTGCTTGAGGTCTAACTGAAGGTAACTCTAGTTTCACAATCGAAAGCGCCAACAAATAAGAAAATATACGTATTTTTGTAATAATCTACTTTGTAATAACTAAAAGTATCTAAATACGCTACTGTAAGCATGGGTAAAGGTAAAAAAACGTAATGACACTTACCGTCGAAATATCAATTCCGGGTTAGAATAGTCTACCTTTTTACAAACTATGCCCTGGCGAACCATCGTAGATAGTTAAAAACTACTTTAAATAGTTTTCTTTGCAATAAACAGTAATAATTATTAGAAAGTTGTTCAAAAATTACAAAAACTTTCAACTACCGTAGAACACTCACAACCGCCCGCTGTCATATATATAAGTTGAATGAAAACAAATGAAAACGTCAAATGTCAACGTAATTCCTACAGATTTCGACAATTTCTTAGTAAAGATGAATCCGCAGCGATGCCGCTAGTTGTCATTGTGATTTCCCTAATTAGTGGAGTGCTTTAAGCCCTTATGAGATACAAACCTCGGAATTCATTTACTGTGAACGAATTTTTACAAAACTTTTTGCATTGTATTGTTAATAAGATATATTACAAAGTTTACCTATTTAAATTCGTTGTTTTCACTTTAGTATTTAAATAAACACACACATATACAAATGCATACATACAAGATGGCTCCGTTTTCCGAAAAAGCCCTGTATCAGGATTTCTATTTGAGATTTTCACTCCAAACCTTTTACAAAATATATGTTTAATAATAGTTCACATTTCAAAAATATTTTTATAGATATACAGGGTGAGTCAAATATATATCATTTATTTATTCGAGTTTAGTGAATTTGCTATAAAATTCTGGTTCCAAAAATACCTTAATACCATAGAGTATACTAAATGGTCTTTGAATTATGACCATGTCCATGAGGACGTCAATATAAACGTCCAGGAACCTTCGTATGAGACTTCTAATCGAGACGATCGACTTATTGTAAGTTTATCGCTAAGAAACCGCCGTTTGCCAGCTTGTCAAATTGATAATGAATTGCACTTAAGAACCGTACATATTAAATAACGGACTACAAGAAGACGATTAAATGAAGCAAATCTTATGTCAAGAAGGCCTGCTTCGGGACCAGAACTTACTAGATGTGTTGACTAGGCCCAAAAGCAAAGGCATGGTCTTAATGTAAAAATTACGAAAAATGTTAGTGCCTTCTTTAAAACCGAATATTTCCAACAAAAATAAAGCTAATGAGATGAACCAAAAAACAAACCATCGAGAAAGGATGTATCTAGATGATAAAGTAATTTTTAAATTTCTTGCTGTTTTAACATATTTCACAGAGTGTTTCAAACTTTTATCAAAAATATCAACATTTTGTTTTCCCTCGTATAATTAACAGATGGGGAGTTTCATTTTTAATTTAGAAAAAGATACTAAGAAGTCAAATAATTTGACAACACACTGCTTAAAAAGATCATCAAGATCGGCCCATTAAAATAAAATATATTAACCTTTAAAATACATCAAAGTTTTAAGGTGCCCATTTTTCGTGCCGGTGAATGTATTTCAAAAACTATAAATTTTAGTCATATACTTTTCTAATAAGAATCCAAAAATCAATTAATAGATATAGGGTGTTCCATTACAAAAAACATAACTTTGATGTGTAACTTTTTTTGGGGACACCCTGTAGAACTCTACATAATTTTAGAAAATACTTTAAATTGACTTACATAAGCTCAGAAAATTTCACTTCAATACAAACTTTTGATCTCCTTGCAAAAACCGCGTCGTATATGACGCGCCACCCTGTATAATTCGATTTCAATCAAAATTTCAATGATTGGAATATAAGCAGAATAGGTATAGCTTATGTATTAGATTTATTTATTTCAATAAATTTACTTAGAAAAAGAATTAAAAAAATCAAAATATTGAGAAGGAAATAATTAAGAATTTACTAAAACTACTAAAATAAAAAATTAATAGCAAAGAAAAAAAATAGGTAAACATTTTAATATTTTATCTATAAAACACCATACAGAGGGTTTCACATTAATACATTCATAGTAATTGAATTCCGAGGTAAAAGTCTCTGGGCACTCCACTATGATCGAAAAAAAATGGCGTCCAGTTCGCTTGGAAATGGCGATCAATGACATTTCCCATATAATTTTACATATAAAATGTTTTTATTCGATCATACGGTATAATCCTGGCACAATCTATGTATATTAATTAAAGTTATATACCTAAACAAATATTTCAAATATTTAGTTTAAAATTTCTATAGGTACTCCAAAAAAAAATTAATAACAATAATAGCATTTGGAACTCGAATCGTATTCTGTCACATACCGCGTAAATCTGTCATCATCGATTTTTGCGGAACACGGTTCGTGATCACTATACAATGTAAATTGTTTTGTCTCCCTTTATTTAGATGTTTTTGTTATACACTATTGCAAAAAGTTCTACGAACCAAATGCTTTAGCATATTTCTTCTTATTTTAGATACTCCTTCTTCGACAAGTACTTCAAGAAAATCGGTAACTGCATTGGTGCCTATGCTTGCCAAGGAGCTACTGGAAAAGACAGCGCTCACTACCTCATCAGTTGGTACTTCGCCTGGGGCGCCTCATACAACGCCCAGTACGACTGGGCTTGGCGTATTGGAGATGGCGCCGCTCATTTCGGCTACCAGAACCCTCTGGCCGCTTACGCTCTTAGTACCGACTCGAACCTAACTCCTAAAGGTGCCACGGCTGTCGAAGACTGGAAAACTTCCCTGGACAGACAATTGGAGCTGTACGAGTTCTTGCAAACTTCCGAAGGAGCGTTTGCCGGTGGAGTTACCAACTCCTGGAAAGGAAGATACGAGACTCCCGACTCTGACTTACAAGTAGATACTTTCCACGGTATGTTTTACGACTGGGAACCCGTATACCATGACCCACCATCAAACAGATGGTACGGAATGCAACCCTGGTCGGCCGATCGTCTAGCTCAGTACTACTACGTAACCGGAGATACTAAAGCTCAAGCTATCTTGGAGAAATGGGTGAATTGGGTTATTCCCAACATCAAATGGACGGGAGATGACTTTGAAATGCCCGCCAATCTTGAATGGTCCGGTGACCCACCAAACGCCCACGTCACAGTAGCGACCTGGGGTAAAGATCTGGGTACCGCCGCTGCCACGGCTCGTACTTTCTCGTACTACGCTGCTAAAGCCAACGATGCAACTGTAAAGGAAAACGCCAAGAAACTTTTAGATGCTTTGTACGCAAACTACCAAACCACCAAAGGTATAGCCGCCCCAGAGACTCGTGAAGATTACAGCCGTTTCAACGAAGCCGTGTATGTACCCAACGGATGGACTGGAACGTACCCCAACGGTGACGTCATCGATTCTTCTGCCACCTTTATCAAGATCAGGTCGTGGTACAAGAACGATCCTGATTGGTCTAAAGTACAGGCTTACCTGGATGGTGGGGATGCTCCAGTGTTTACCTACCACAGATTCTGGACTCAGGCTGATATCGCTCTAGCTTTTGGTGCATACGGACTGCTTTTCAATGAATAGATTATTTTTGATATCGGTTTTGTAAATAAATGATTTAATAAGCAAGTTTATTTTGTTTAAATCAATACACCCATACTTCGAGAAAGTACTCCAAAACAAAAAGGGGACGTTTAAATTTAACAAAATTATTTGATTATACTTAAGTGTTTTACGTCAAAATAGATTAATTGATATTAAATAGAATCATCTTTTTAATTAATATGTTTCAAGTTTAATGTTTGCTGGTACCGATCAAGTACTCAAATAAAAATATTTTGACCCCCTTTCAAGTATGACATAATATAAAAAAATAATCTTATTTACTTAAAGAGTTTAATGAAACTATGTATCTTTCAATTCAAATAATTATCAGTTATAAAACACAGTACAAATAGATTTATAGTGATGTTATTATTCCATTCAATACTGAAAAGTTTATTTGTATTTTTAAGTGTCTGTATTTGGATATACGACCGAAGACATTATTTAAGAATACAGGGTGTCCAATTTTGGTTGAAATCATATGGTATCTCCGTTATTAGTGAAGATAGAAGGATAAGGTTTGCACATACCTGTCCCATTTTTTTGTCAAACGGAAGAAGCTGTCAATAAAATTTTCATAGCCCTTTTCGTTTCTAAGCTACAGTGTCTTTTTGAAAATTTTGCAATTTGAGACTATCCCCGTATCTTCGTTACTGTGAAAGATATCGAGAAGATGAAAACTGATTCCTGTAGAACTTTTTACGTAGAATACAGTGGCGTGGACTGTTTTTCTACGAAAAAAATATTTTTGAAAATATAAACTAAAGTTAAGTTTTTTCAAATGGAACACCCTGTATATTTATAAATATATGATCCGTCTTGCTATGAGCTTTACAAAAATATATATCACTCTCTATTTATTTTCAGTATTTATTGCAATATTTATAAAAAATATTTTTTTTATTAGTAGGCCCTGATATATAACAAAAAAATCAAAATGGTACCTATTTACTAAAATAATCATTACATCAATAATAATCATACACATACTAAAAGTTTGTTAGGTACAAAAATATTTTACTTTTAAACTGTTATCACTGAATTTCTGAATATGTTTTTCTTCTTTTTTTTAAACGGGATGGGTTTGCAATTATCTAAAAGCTTGTCTGATAGCATTTTCCAGGTCTTCGACATTGTTGCAGTTGCCACGATATATTTCATATTTCAAAAATCCCTAAATACAGAGAACGGACAAATCCTGGGATCAGGGAGGCTATCGTATAGGTCCCCTTGCATAATACAATAGATAGTCATTTAACAAAATTAGGAAGACCAAAACAAACACCTCTTAGTCTTGGTCTTGGTATTGCAGGGTCCAGTCTTGGTCTTGCTACAAGACTCTTGCATGTCTTGCGCATTGATAGGTTTTAACTGGAGGAAATTTCTACATAGATAATTTTGAAAAAATTGTCTTTCAAGTACATGATTTAAAGCAAATGATACTTTAATGAAAGAAACAATATAAGCACTACTATTTTTCTTTTCGTTGGGTTTTTTAAATACTCGTAAAAATGACAAGAAAGTGTTTGGGTGTGGAAGTTCTAATATAAAGGTCCCCGAATTATCTTTTCATAGACAAGTAAAGTATTCAGTTGGTTTTTTATTTATATTAAACCACACGTATATTTTCTGGTAACTGGTTAGATTTCCTAAGAATATTGATATTCGTTCGGAGTGGCTAAATGCATTTTTTATGTAATTTAATTTTTTGTGACAGTAAATATTCAATTTTCAATTTATTGCTCAAATATATGTATTTCACAAATTAAATTTTTTAAAATTAATATTCAAACTTAGCGTGTGGACGATAGGTTCTCGACAAGGATAGATAGGGTATAAGCATCGCGTGTGCAACAAAGAAAGAAGATAAATGTCAGTCGTTGATATGTTTGCGACAGTTTCTAGAGTGATTTATGTATTCACGTAAGTATATATTATGACCTAGGATTATTAACTTTGATTAAAGTTCCACATTTTCAGTAACTATTATCACCTTTTCCATAGCATTCCCAACTAGAGTTTATAGTGACAAATACGTAACTGCTACCACAGACTACTACTATCAAAGCCACTACAAAGTGGGTGGTGACCATCGGCGGCTACGTCGTATATTCGTAGCTGCTAAGTGCGACCAAAATGGGGAAAGATTTTGAGTAGCCGGTAGTGTCTTGGGTAGTTTTTGCCACTAAAAGAGTTACTATGATGTGTTACTATAAAGTAGCCTACTTATCCGTTACGAAGCTGCCTAGGCGCGGGTTCGTGGCAGCCAAGTGTTATCCGCCGACGACATGTGGAACTTTCGTTAAACTGTTGAACTTTATTCGCAGCGACTTCATGCAATTTCACATTTCATAAAAATAAATGTCATGATGGAAAATAATTATGGAAGCCATTATTATTTTTTCGTTATTTGTTATTTACCGTGCGATTTTAACGCCTTTTTTAGGTAAATTCCAGAACGCAATCAACTTTACTGAATAAAATAGTGGGTTTATATAACTTATAAATTTTCGAGCGGCTCTCAAAATATTTCAAATTATTATATTATTTAAAATAGAAACTCATGTTTGTAATTAAAGAATAATAATAATTTGCTTGAAACCGGGGTCAAACTTTAAAATATTAATCCACCGTCAGAAATAACAAAATAACTAAGGAAAAAAGCTTTAATCTAGGTATATTTAGCTTAAAAACGCATAATGTTTGAGCCATTTGGCAGTTCGTTTAAAAATTCATGAAAAAAATATGGCCGTTTAATCCAAAAAATACTTTATAGTTCCATATGCTTCCATAAAGTACCGGGAACAATAACATATTAGGCCAACCCTACCCGTTCGGATCTTTAAAATCTTCTGATTGATAAAGTGACAATTGTAGCTATCCAAAGGTGACTTTATAGAAACAATAACTATTTTGGAACTACATGGTCAACGATTCTTTGGAACCATAAAGTGATTTTTTCCAAGAAAGTTCCCTGCGCCACCAAATTGCCACTTAATTGGGACGTTATGTTCCGCCTTGTCCTTTGAAGTTATTTTTTACTTATTGTGTATTTTCTATTATTAGTATTTCTATATTATTCAGAGCTACATGAGGTATAGAATATTTTAACGGCCACACTTTTAACTCTTGTTTTATATTGTTGTTGGTTTTCAAATTAGTTCTCCTCTGAGATTCAGTTTTAGATGAACTAACACTACACTCATCTACAGAAACAGCTTCAAAAATGTCTCAATCACTACCTGATTTATGATGTTCATCAGTAGGATTATAGGAAAATGTAGTTTTTGTTTCTGATGTTGATGCATCGGCTCGCAGTGATTCGTTTTGTTTAATTCTTCGGTAGAAAGTACTAGAATATCTAAATTTCTTTTTATTCACTTTAGGGTTTTTACAAAATTTTAATAAAGCTTCAAGTAAAAGAAAACACTAAAGCAGAGCAGCACACGATGCAATCTGAGGCAATTACATTTATTAGGGTATATTAAGTTACGGTCACTATAAAGTAGCCGTTTTTGACCCCCGTGACTTTTTAGTGGCAATGGATGAGCGACGGCTACTTTATAGTGACCTAGGAAGGTAGCAGTAACCATTTTGCTACTTTCAATGCTACTATAAATTAGAAGTAACTAGGTGTCGTGGCCGCGAATACCCCATAACTTAAATTGTTACTATAAAGTAACAAAAACTTAATGGAGGCATTATGGTAGCACTTGTTAGTAACCCTTACATTGAAAGTTACTATAAAGTTTTTGGTCTTTTCTGGTGTCATATTCGAAGATTCGGGTAGTTCCAGCCACTTCTTTAAATTACATGTTTGCGACTTGCAATCGGGGTGTTTATTTTCCACTTTTATGGTAGGTAGGCACTAACCGGTCACTCTCGAAATAGACTTCAAAGTGAAAGTCTCTTCAGAAACTATATCCTCTTGAAATAAGAGAGTTAGACGGTTCCATTACTAAGGATGATCTTATCGAGGCGGTGAAAAACACTACGGGTGATAGCTCTCTGAATGTTAGAATTTACAGTCTTAGAGAGGGAATAAGAGGGATGCAAATTGCTGTAATTGGACAAGAAGCCAGGGAAACACCACACTAGCAGAGGAATACAAAAGTCGGAGAAAGCTTTTAAGAACAGCTATAAGATCGAGTAAAAAGCAGTTCTGGAGAGATTTATGCCAAGAGATTGAAAATGACCCGTGGGGACTCCCTTACAAAATAGTGTTTAAGAGGATAGGACACGAAAAAATACCAGGACTGTTGGACCCAGATTGGGTTTGCCAAATAGTAGAGACACTCTTCCCAAAGGAGCAGCATAAAAAACATGACGGAGGAAAGAAAAAAGTGTGCAGGAACAACACAATGGAACTAAAATATTTTACTGTAGTCGAACTAGAACAAGCAAGTACAAAACTTTCGGCAAATAAATCACCGGGTCCTGACGGCATACCAAACGAAGTTCTTAAAATAGCCATTGATGTATGGCCGGAGTTACTACTACACACAGTAAATGAATGTCTTCTTTCTGGATGTTTCCCAAACAAATGGAAGCAGCAAAATTTGGTCCTTCTACACAAGCCCAACAAGCCAATAGAGAATACGTCATCTTATAGACCAATCTGCCTAATAGACACCAGTGCCAAACTCCTGGAAAGATTAATACTACAAAGAATGGAGGTCCATGTGGACACCATAGGAGGATTATCACATCGGCAGTATGGATATCGTAAAGGCATATCGACCATCGACGCAATCAATCGAGTAGTCACCATTGCAAGGAGTGTAAAGGAAGGGAATTGGAAAAATAAAGGATATTGTGCATTAGTAACTTTAGATGTCAAAAATGCTTTCAATACTGCAAGATGGGGAGAAATTATACAAGCCTTGAAAAGAAAAGATTTCCCAGATAATTTGAAAAATATGGTGAATAGCTATCTTACAGAGAGAAAAATATTCTATCTAACGTCTGAAGGAACAAAAACGTATGACATGACAATGGGAGTTCCCCAAGGATATGGAACATATTTTATGACGAGCTTATGGAACTGGAAATGGCTGAAAACACAGATATAGTGGGATTTGCAGATGATATTGCTGTTGTGGCAACGGCAAGTAAAACAGAACAACTGGAGATTGAAGTTAACGATAGTTTAAATAGAATACACCGTTGGCTGAAGATGAAAAATTTGCAACTGGCTGTCCATAAAACAGAGGCTGTACTGATAACGGATAAGCGATCTTTTACGTATCCAAAGATTGTGTTGGATGGGACGGAAATCAATGGTCCTCAGTCCTAGTCAAAGCCTCAGATATCTGGGAGTACAAATTGATAAAAAGCTGAATTTCAAAGAACACATACATGCAGTAGTGGTAAAGGCTCAGACAACAGTGGCTAAATTAGCAAGAGTAATGCCAAACATCGGAGGTCCAAGGCAGGAGAAAAGGATACTTTTAAATGAAGTGGTCCAGCCAGTATTTTGTACGCCGCTCCAATATGGGCAAAGGCACTGGAGGTTAAAAAGAAAAACAGAAACTTCTATCAGTTCAGCGACGGAGCGCCTTGAGAGTTGTTTCTGCCTACAGAACTGTAGCGGAGCAAGCGGTATTCGTAATCGCAGGTATACCACCAATAGACCTGGTAGTAAAGGAAAGGGCTTATATATATGATCAGAAAACTACAGGAAGAACAGATAAGGCTGAGATCAAAAATGAAGCGAAGGAGATATTATATCAACTGTGGCAAAGAAGATGGGACGAGGCGTACGATGGAAAATGGACACATATGTTAATCCCGAATATAAGAAGATGGAGTGAACGAAAACACGGACAGGTAGACTATTACTTTCCCAGATACTTAGCGGTCACGGAGCTTTCGAACATTATTTATATCGTTTCAAGAAAAGAGCTAGTGCGGCCTGTAAATATTGCAGCAGTGCCATCGACGATGTCAGTCACACCATTTTTGAATGCTCGGCCTGGGAACCAGGTAGATTAAAGATCAAGGGGATTTTTAAGGTACCCTTTAAAAAAGAAAACTTAGTATCATCTATTGTGGAGGACGAAGATATATGGGAGGCTTTCGTGGCGTTTATATCAAAAATTCTACGACAGAAAGAGCTGGATCAACGGAGGGTTGAAGAATGACCAAAGTCTAACGTAGAGAGGGGCATCTGCGCCGAAGTAATGCGTGAGCAGTTCCAGCGCAGTTTGTCTACCAAATAGGGTGGAATTTTTTTAGTCGGTAGGAATCCGGCACACCTCTGTCGCCAGAACAACAGACCAGGCGTCTAAGAAGATTTTTTTACCATCCTCAGAAAAAAAAAAAGACTTCAAAGTGACTATTTCTTATAGAGTAACATTTTAAGTGGCAGAGTGGGCCTAGGAACTATATTTGCTAGTTGAGTTGTGTTGATCTTTATTAAAAATATATATGTTGAGCAACACTAGATTGATGAGCTCTACTATATCTTAGTTGAGACATCATCATCATCATCATCATTTTTAGCTTATTCAACCATTTCCAATTATGGTGTAGCCTCCCTCACATATTTAGATACTCTCTTTGTAGTTGGGCCCATTGTTGTCTATTGTTGGCTATGCGCCAAGTTATTCCTTGTTAACTTCCTAGTATCATGGTCCCATTCATCCATTGTGGTCCGTCTGTGGTCCGTCCTTCTTGCCAGGTGTCCTACCCATTGCCACTTGAGGGATTTGACTCTGTGGATGACATCTATTACATGGTTCTTTTGTATCCACTCTATTCTTTTACGGTCTCCTTTGGTTATTCCCAGCATATTTCGTTCCATTGAGCGTTGTGCGACTTGCAGTTTCCTTATGATGATCGTTTTAAGTGTCCAGGTTTCATATGCATAGGTCATGACTGTTATTACACACTGGTCGAATATTTTCTTCTTTAGACAGAGTGGCATTCTAGATTTGCATATAATTAAGTTTCTCCCTGTTTAGCCATATGCTCTTTAAATCTAGTTATTATGATCTTCTAGTTTGCCCTTGCAGAAATATATAATTTTTTTACATTTAAATAATCATATTACATTGCCAGATACAGAAAGATCCACGAAGTGACAAGTAAATATGTTAAAAATAGAATTTATACAATATTTTTTGAACTTTATCTGAAACTGAAGTACTGAAGTACTCTTCTTTCATATAATCTCTTGCACTCAAGTGACATAACATACAAACATACACAGATAACTACCTTCTAGTTCCGGGTTATTGACGTCATAATTTTTCGAATCTTTCTTATTGGAAAATTTCAGAAATGCACACGCATTTAAAGTGTTTTTCATTCTTGTTTTTCTAGATACACTTTAGATTCATTGATTGATTATTTTGTTTATTAAAAACTGTTATTTTTAATATTTGGAGTACCTCAAGTGGGTACTCCAATTAATTCAATTAGGAATATTTGACGCGATAAGCAATCTTAAGTTGTTAAATAACTAAAAATCTATTTTTGTTTCTATAAATTTCCTCTATATTGAATATAAACAAAAATACATAACAAATAGCTAAGAACAGTTAATTGGGTAGTACATCCTCAACATTATCATACCATATCATACCATTTATAACTCAAGAACGACTGGACTGATTTTAATGTGGACTAACTACTATAACTACTAAAATATCCAAAAAAAAACAACAGGAAAAATTACGGAAAAAATTATTTTTTAAACAAATTAGGTTTGGATTTGGTTTGGAACTCCGCCATATTTATTTATAAAAATTGATATCCACGGCATTATATAATACCGGGTGCATCTCAAAAGTGGCTCACCCCTATAACTTTTTTATTTTTTTCAGTTAAAAAAACGAGATTTGGTATGTTAGTATATGAAATAAATTAGGATTGATTGACGTATTCAATTGTTTTCGGTCACTTCCTGTTTCACCGGAACTAACAACGACTTTTTATTTTTAAATGGCACCCTCGGTATTTTTTTACTATTTTCGATAGAAATTAACACTCTGAATAGAATGACATATTATAAGTCAACTTTTGACGTTTTCGTCGTATATATGGTTTATTTGAAATTATAACGTGGCGGTTTATAACGAAAATTTGTCTCGAAATACTAAACTACTAAGTGTGTGGTATCAAATTATTCGTAAAAAAATACTTTTTCCGAATAATATTCGGATATAGGGGTGGCACATTAGCATATTATGCTAATGTGCCACCCTCGTTCCATTTGAAAAAAATTGATATATGATTAAAAATACGATTTGGGAATCTTTTAACAGGCCAGGACAGGACACTAAAAACATTAGACGATCAAATCTATTTTTCCAAGGCTCCTTGATTAAGAATTAGTGTTTTTAACACAGCCATGGCACTCTAGATAGATTGATCTGATAGATATTCAAAAATTGACATATTATAATGTGTCCTATTCAGAATTTCATATTCTATCGAATAAAGTAAAAAATACCGAATACTCTTCCGCACTCCGGACATTCAAAAATCTCATTACTTTGTTGCCTTTTTACTTTTTCGTTGTCGTTGTTAACTGAATTTACGATTCTTCTCCATTTCGTTCTATTCTGCGCTGCTTAAAGTTTAGTTTAAGCCCCTTAATTTTTCATTCAAAATATTCTTGTACCTTTTGAGTTGTCCACCCGATTTCCTCTTACCGTCATCAAGAAGAGATTTCGGTAGACGGTTTTCTTGCATCCTGCATACGTGACCAGCCCATCTTAAGCGGGATTATTTTATAAAATTTATCACAAACAGCATCACTAATGATTTAAGTTACCTTAACAATGATAAACAATAACCCCCTTATTATTGTTTATCATCGAGTTTCTTTAATTTTAAGGCACAATGCACTTCAAAAAAATATTTCTTAAGAAGGAGTAGATTACTTCAAAATCATTGTTTATCTGCTCCATCCAATGATATAATACTTTTTAAATAACTCCGTTGCTACCAGGTTCTGTTTGTTTTTGTTTAAAAACATTTATTGTTTAATCTTTTTAAACAACTTCGACTGATTCTTTATCATGGTCCTTGATTACATGTTTTGATAAAATATTACATATAAATAAACTGACCTATTACTTGAAGAAGTTATTGGTTTTTGTAAAGTTCATACAAACAGGTAAGTACATATATTTTTACAAACAGGGCTTAGTTTGGACTATTTGGATAATAACTAGTATCTAGTATTTTGACGAATCTACTACATGCGTAGATTTGAAGTAGAATAAGAAAAAGAAGAAAAAAATCGAAGAGTATTTTACTATAACTCCATGAATTGATTATGATAAATAAGAATAACTGTATGAAATTTTAATCAGCTGCTGACGATGCTAAGATTAAGTTGCGAAGATGCTAGTTAGTTAAACATGATTTTAGAATGAATTAAAAATGTTTCTTTCCATAGTAACTGTTAAAATTGCCTTAAATGATACTTTAACAGCGAGAATAGGTTAAAAACTTTATTTCTTCTCGCACGTTTTTTAATTGCTTCCATTTTTGAAAATTTTTCTATTCCTTTTCATAAGTTATTCGGGATTTTAATGGAAGTAGTTTGGATAGGGCGTTTGTCGCCCCAGCCTGAATATCTGTTGGTAATTTACTTATTTCGTTTTGAGCCATTTCAATGTTCCATTTCTGGCTCCAATTCAACCAGCAATCGACACGAAAGAGAATTAAAAATATTGACTCAAAACTGATAACTAAAGAGACAGCTTTATTTGTCAAATTACATAAAAACCAACTACACACAGCACAATAATTTTTCTACTCGTAATAAATTCCTTGAAATAATAATTTCTGAATATTTTTTAAAACGTAACTTTTATACACGACGATAAAATTGCATTTTCCTCTCCCGAAATTAATTCACTCGTGGTTTCATCGCTCATGAATTAATCTTTTCGGTCGATACAAACAATAAAAAATAACTATTTCTGTAGTGTACTTAACTTATTATCTTATTTAGGACACAATGAGAGTATCTCTGGCCTTTTTGGCCATTGTCTGCGTGGTGGGTATCCATGGTGGTACCTACACTGACCGTTTCTTGGAACAGTACAACAAAATCCACGATTCCGCTAATGGGTACTTTTCTTCTGAAGGTATTCCTTATCACAGTGTCGAAACATTGATCGTAGAAGCCCCAGATCATGGTCATCAAACCACTTCTGAAGCTTTCAGGTAAATTAGAGTTCTTAATAAAAACTAATCTTTAATGCACTACTTAACAACTACATAAAAATATGTAAGAAGAGTTGAAACAATGAAGTCACAGAATTGAAGAAAATGTCAGTTCACATAAGTACTGACAACTGACAATTTAAGATCTTCTCTTGCCAGCTCTGGATATTCGTGTTTTCTTTTTATCCAAAATACGTCGACACTTTGTGAATAAACACACACCGGAAAAATCTAAGGATATCATTTTATTAAAGTTAAAAATAAATGTTTTGAATAAACAACCACATATTTGTAGGCCGATTCTTTCTACTTCGATTGAAATGAAGTAGTCACACTAGTTATTTCTAAATTTGGGATATTTGCAGAACTGTTTGTGTATTTTTTGTCAAATGTATAAAAAGCACCTAGCATCAATTGTTCAAATTTAACCTGTACTGGCTATGTTTTTATGATAACTGGCCAGAATTCATTCAAATAACTCTGTTTAGTATTAAACAACTTTATGGAGCGTAGACATCTTAACAGAGACGCAATGCTAAAGGCCATGGGTATGCTCGGAGCTGGAATGCGCCAAATCGACGTAGATAGAGCATTAAATACAACGCAAAGTGTAATATCGTGATTAAGTGCACGCTACCGTGAAAGTGGTGTTGTTGCTGAAAGGCACACAGGGCGTCATCGCATTACTACCCCTCAGCAAGATCATTTTTTACAATTAAATGCTCGACGCCGACCGACTCTTACAGCACCAGAGCTTAGTTTAATTCTCCAGGAAACACATAATGTAACCGTTAGTCCTGACACTGTTCGCAATAGATTAAGATAGGTCAACTTAAGAAGCAGACGCCCCTGGAGAGCTCAACCCTTAACGAGAGGAAATCGAGAGGTATGTGGGCTCAAGATCATGTTCAGTGGTCGAATGAACAATGGGCCAATGTTCTTCACGGATGAGTCACGCTTTGGAATTCATCCGAATTCGAGAAGGCTTAGGGTATGGAGAGAACCGGGAAATCTTATTCGGTTGGATCATGCTCAGGAAGTGCACCTTTATCAAGGTGGAACAGTTATGGTCTGGGGAGGAGTCCAGTTAAGCCGAAAAACCGATCTCGTTTTTCTTGAAAGGTTTCTAACAGGAATCACATATCGTGATTTAATTCTTGAGCCTGTCGTGTTACCATATGCCAATGATTTTGGGAGAAACTTCATTCTCATGCATGACAATGCACGGCCTCATACAGCCAGAGTGGTAAGTGAGTTTATCAATGCTCATCAATTAAACATCTTACCCTGGCCGGCACAATCTCCTGACCTCAACTCCATCGAGCACGTATGGGACGCGGTCCAAAGAAGAATTTTGAGAATGGGTATGCCTCGTGAAACTCGTAGGGATCTGGTTCGGGCCGTGAATGCAGCGTGGCAGGCTGTACCTCAAGAAGAGATCGACAACCTGATCAGGAGCATGGAGAGACGATGTAGGGCTGTAATGAACAGTAGAGGAGGCTATACCCTTTATTTAGTAAAAAATGGTTTTATCTTTTTTTTTTTAATTCACAGTTAGAATAAAAAAAATGTGTGTATTTTTTTGAGTTCAATAAAAATCAAGGTAAATTTGAAAAATTCGATAAATTTCGCATTTTTATTTCCAATACGTCCTGTAAACTATTTGTTTATTTTAATTTTATTATATCAGAAATGCAAATAATAAAATTACTGACGATGGCTGGATAAAATTGTAATATCCGTAGACTTTTCCGGTGTGTGAAATTCCATTTTAAGCATGCCATCAACGGCTAAATCTAGAAGACATTCTTTCATTTTTGTGGTGACATCAGCCAGATCTTTTGATTTGTCCAAAAAAGCGTTTAAAATCCATCTACGCCCATTGTCAGCTTCAGAGTGCAAGTCTGGAAAATATCTATACTGCAAAACTTTGGTCTGTTGCATTATCTTCAATAATCTTCTGAACACATGGAAAAGATTCGAACGTTTTGTTTTGCAGAGGTTGGTCACAAACGAAGTTTTGAGTAAAATGTTTTTACTTTATCTTTCGCTGTTAAAATATTTTCTTCTCTTCCTTGAAGGTTCTAGTTCAAATTGTTAAGGTGGCTAAAAATATCTGGCAAAAATGCTAATTCCAAGAGCCAAATAGGGTCAGAGAAACGAGAAGCATATTCAGATTTTGTATCTTGTAGGAACATTAACAATTCAGCTCTCAGTTTCAAAACTCTTGTCAATACCTTTCCTTTGGATGGCCACCTGACCTCTGTGTGATAAAGGAGATTTTGATGAAGCGAGCCCATATCTTCACAAATGATTCTGAATAGCCGGGTTAGCAAAGCTTTACCTTTGATAGAATTCACAATTTTTATTACCTCCTTGAGCACGTCATTTAAATTAGAAGGTATTAGCTTAGCAGCTAGAGCCTGTCAATGAAGAAAACAGTGTGTCCAGGATATGTTCGGCATCATCGATTTTAACTTTGCAATAAGTCCGCTATTTTTGCCAGTCATTTCTGGCCAGTAGTGTTTGCAGGAAGTGCTTTGCAAAATAAAATTTCTTCCCTGATACTGGTATCTGCTTCAAAGTGCACAAATACTACAATAAATGTACCAAAATAGGAAAAAAATAATTACCTAACGTATGTAGTCATTTAATTAAATAATTTTTTTGGCTTTCTATGACACAGGGGGTCGCCAGAATATTTCTACCTGTAAAGGGGTCGCGATTGAAAAACACTGTGCTAAATTATACATTCTATATGTGTTCCCTTTCCTTTTAGTTACTATGTCTGGCTTGAAGCTATGTACGGAGCCGTCAATGGAGATTTTTCTTCCTTCAACACTGCCTGGACTACCCTAGAAAATTACGCTATTCCAGCACTGCAAACAGCTAACGCAGCTTATAATCCCAGCAAACCCGGGTCGTACGAAGCTGAGTTGGACGATCCTAGCGACTACCCATCACCGATCGATTTCAACGTTCCAGTTGGTAAGTTTTGGAAACTCGGGACAAGTGAACTCCTAAATCTGGACTTCTTTGAAAAATAAATTATAAATTTATTCATGTAAAATCTGTTTTACGAAAGAATACTTTACACTAAAAGTTGTTGTCTAACTATATTAGGGATTCCTATACCTATCTGGCTCAGATTTTGAATAGTGTCAATTTTCAATAAAATGGCAACCAAAAAGGCTGGTGTAGTTATGGCAATTTTCTAGTGGCATTTAGTAGCTATTCTCAAAATCGAAATTAGTTTATGGACTTTATATTACCATATAGAGATTTCAGACATTAAAGTTAGATAGAACTAAATTGTTATTAATGTTATATTTTCCTAACCTTCTTTTAAATTTATTTATTTATGATACTCAATAGGTCAAGATCCTATCGCTACTGAACTGAAGAATGCTTATGGTTCTGATGTATTGTACGCCATGCACTGGCTCCTCGACGTTGACAATGTTTACGGATTCTCCAACACTCAAGGACAGTGTGAAGACGGTACTAATGGTCCATCATTGATCAACAACTACCAGAGAGGACCTCAAGAGTCAGTATGGAGGACAGTCCCTCAACCTACTTGCGACCAATTCAAGTAATTCTTATATTTCCACTGTTATACCTACAAAAATATTAATATTACATATTTTTTTATAGATACGGTGGTCAAAATGGTTTCTTGGACCTGTTCACCAAGGACAACTCTTATGCTCATCAATATAAATACAGTGCTGCTCCAGATGCTGACGCCAGAGCTGTCCAAGCTGCTTACTGGGCTGCCCAATGGGCTACAGACAACGGACAAATTTCATCTATTACAGACACATTATCCAAAGCTGCTAAGTTGGGAGATTACCTTAGGTAAGCATACTTTAATAGTATACCGGGTGTTGCATCGTCGAGCGGGACATAGGAATTCCCATGTAAATTTTAATTGGGTCAATTATTGGCAAATATTGGTCAAATTTCTTTTGATATGATGGAAAGAGCAAACACGGATAGGGAGTTTTTAAAAAACATATGTTTCACTGACGAATGCACGTTTACCTTAAATAATGAACCCAATGTTCAAAATTCAAACAACACTCTCATAAATTGTGTAGCGGCAAGATTACCGCACATAGTTACTCGTGTGAAGTTGGCACCCTTTTTTCAAAAAATGAACTGGAATTTGAGAGTTCTGGATAGATTTACAATAGTTCTATAGTTCTTGATAAGTTAAAAAAATAGTTCTGGTTAATTTCGGGAGATATGACAGGGGGGTGCCAACTTCACGTAGCACCCTTTTTTTATTCGAGAACAGTTCTGATAGTGGAAATATATTCTAGAACAAGAGTTCTATAGTTCCTGACTATTGATCAAAATAGTTCTATTGTATTAACCAAGTTATGAACAAAAATAAAATGGCAGCCTGCACAGTTTAAATCGATTTTCTAGGTAAAAAATGATTTAAAGAATAGTTATGAATAGAGTTCTGAATAGCACCCCAAAAGTTCTATAAGATGTACTATTTGATTTTTAAAAAATACCGATAATTAAAAATTTCATTGATGCACGACTATCTATAGATAGACATAAAAATCGACTCTACCAAGGAAATGCAATGTTGAAAAACAGTTCTGGTTAGAGTTCTGAATAACACCCTAAAAGTTCTATAAGATGTACCATTTGATTTTTTTAAAATACCAATAATTAAAAATTTCATTGATGTACGACTCTATAGATAGGCAAAAAAATCGACTCTACGAAGGAAATGCAATGTTGAAAAACAGTTCTGGTTAGAGTTCTGAATAGCACCCCAAAAGTTCTATAAGATGTACCATTTGATTTTTTAAAAATACCAATAATTAGTTTAGTTTTTAAAAATACCAATAATTAGTTTACAATACGGTTTTTGTGTGTCATGTACGAATAATATCATAGTTTTATTATCTTGTATTTACTTATTAATAAATTAAGTTGTTAATAAATAAATAAATTTAACCATATAGTTGCTATATATTAGACCATTTGCTACGTTCTTAGATTTTAAGTTCCAAACATTGGTCTTGAGATTTTGTTCCGCTAGAATAACCATCCGCCTCACTGTGGAGCGCTGGTCAGCGCGTGACGTAGCATTCCACGGCGACTACGACAGCGGCGATTTGACGCGATCGAACAGTCCTTTAGAATATATACAGTCCTTGAGTATTGCCAGTATTACATGGGCTGTTGTAAATAAAGATTCTTCTTACAATATTTCAGATTAACAAATCAATAATATAATCAGTATAAAACCTTTTTTGTTATAGATATTCCTTATACGACAAATACTTTAAGAAGGTTGGTAACTGCGTTGGTGCCTACGCTTGCCAAGGAGGTACCGGAAAAGAAAGTGCCCACTACCTCATCAGCTGGTACTTCGCCTGGGGTGCCTCCTACAACGCCCAGTACGACTGGGCCTGGCGTATCGGAGATGGCGCCGCTCATTTCGGCTACCAGAACCCTCTGGCCGCTTACGCTCTGAGTACTGACTCGAATCTAACTCCCAAAGGCTCCACAGCTGTCGAAGACTGGAAAACTTCCCTGGACAGACAATTGGAACTGTACGAGTACTTGCAAACTTCCGAAGGAGCGTTTGCTGGTGGTGTTACCAACTCCTGGAAAGGAAGGTACGATACTCCTGACTCTGATTTACTCGTGGACACTTTTCATGGTATGTTTTATGATTGGGAACCTGTATACCATGACCCTCCATCAAACAGATGGTACGGAATGCAACCTTGGTCAGCTGACCGTCTAGCTCAGTACTACTACGTAACCGGAGATACTAAAGCTCAAGCTATCTTGGAGAAATGGGTTAATTGGGTTATTCCCAACATCAAATGGACGGGAGATGACTTTGAAATGCCCGCGAATCTTGGATGGACAGGAGACCCACCAAATGCTCACGTTAATGTTACTTCGTGGGGTAAAGATTTGGGTACAGCTTCTGCCACTGCCAGAGCTTTCTCCTACTACGCTGCTAAAGCCAACGATGCCACCGTAAAAGAAAACGCCAAGAAGATTTTAGACGCTTTGTACGCTAACTACCAAACCACCAAAGGTATTTCAGCTCCGGAAACCCGTGAAGATTACAGCCGTTTTAACGAAGCAGTGTATGTTCCCAGCGGATGGACCGGTACTTATCCCAACGGTGACGTCATCGATTCGTCTGCCACCTTTATCAAGATCAGGTCGTGGTACAAGAACGATCCTGACTGGTCTAAAATACAGGCTTACTTGGATGGTGGTGATGTACCTACGTTTACCTATCACAGGTTCTGGACTCAGGCTGATATCGCTCTGGCTTTTGGCGCATACGGACTTCTTTTTAACGAATAAGATGTATAAAGTTTTTTTTGTAATAAAAAAATAAGCATATATTTTGTGTTCGTCTATTTATTCTTTATTTAAATTTGCCACAAGCATTAGTTATTATTTATACAAGACGATAAAATACCATTATTTTCCATAGCGAGTTATATTTTAAAAAATATTCAGTATGTAGTTATTATTTTAAGTTGTCGTCAAATGTTGACGTTTTCTAAATTTCAATACCTCTATTATAACATTTATCTTTTATGCAATTTTAATGTACCTATTCTCTGCTTTTACGTTTGCTTCTTCTTTTCAATGGAGTTTAATATTGAAAAGTACTTTATTAATAAACTGTTAAACTCGTTAGACAGCTCAAGTGAAGATTTGCTGGTCCAATATTAAAATAGATCAATAATAAATAAACAAATCAAATCAATATTTATATTTTTATAGCTTACAAAACATTCACGATTACTTGTCTTGTTTTCCATGTTTTCTTTAAGTGTTCCTGACTTTAAGAAACAATGTTTAAATGGCCCTAAAAAGTCATTCTATTTAGTTAATGAAATTTATTTACCTTTACTGCCTACCTCCATTGCTTTTGGATGTAAATACAAAATATTATTACAAATTTTAGAAATTAAATGAGAATTTCACTCGAACTTCCAATATTTGCTTGATTTCTGTCACATAAATGACATTGATTGACAAACAAAACCAGAAAAACTAGCCTTTTCGCGCTGGTTAGTTTGGTGACAGAGGAAGGAGCATATCAAAAATCTTAGGTACACCGCGATGGGCCTCAAATATGGCCGACTTAAATTCCGGTTTATCAGTGTCGTTCTAATTTTATTTAAAAAATGTAAAACTATGATGTAGGGTAGACGTGGGGTAGACTCAATAATTTGTTGTTTTATTTTACGTTGTGAATAAATGTTGGTAGTTATTAAAATTGTTATAAAAATATATAATTCTAATAGTCAAATTAACGTATCTAAATTCTTTGACATCTAATGTTTGACAAGTAATAAATAAAAGCTAAAATGCAAGAAAAATATATAATTTAGTTAATTTAAGTGAATTTCATAAATGATCGGTTTACTACACGTATGTATATTATATAGTCACTTACTAGCGAAAAGTTGTTCCATTATTTCACTCAATTTTTGCCGAGATCTACCGCACGCTACACAACCAACTATTTTAGAGCCTTTTTCGATCAATCGCGAAAGTGTCACTGTTAATTTAAGTTCTGCCACAATTTCCATCTAGATTTACTACCTTTATACAACTATCAGTAGTAGAATAAATAATAAATAACATAAAATAAGCTCCATAAAGACTGACAAATCCACAAAATTTCAAATCAAATTCAAATGTGTCAAATGAATCGTCAAACAAAACTGTCAAGGATCCCCACCCTAGAGAGCTTTTATGGTGCCTTTTCCGCCCACCATGCATGAATACATGGATAGCATTATGCTCCTTCCTTAGTCTTCTTATTCAAAGGGTGACAGTTATAACCGAATTTTTCAGGAACCGTGTTCCGTAGCAATTTGTGCAGCAATTTGTATGCAAAAAGAAAACTATTTAAATCTTTATAAAAGAGTATACCATTAATTAAATATAACACCATTATTTCCGCCCATATACTAATTAATGATATACTTAATTGTGTTCGTTAATAAATTATTATAAATAAGTGTGGATTTTTGAGTCAGAAATCAATATAATAATAAGTTATCAAATTAAAGTCTTTGTTGTTATAAATAAGCATTTATCAAAAAATGAAATATCTTTTTTAAGGTGTTACTTTTTATCACACTGTCTAATGCCCATACAAAATTCAGTTTTTTAGTATTTGGAGCAATTATTATTAATCAACGCAAACAGTCAGTTAATGTAGTTTGAATACTGGAATCATATTAATTGGTCCTCTTTAATAAATATTTAAACAGTTTTTTTTTATTTTTTAATGAAATTCGTTTATAATATCGACAATATTAGTATATGTACTCTTTAAAAATTTGGTACATCTTTAAAAAGAATCTAAAATGTCAATAGTCCATGGGTATATTGATAAATAAGTTCTAAATTACAAGAAAATGCATTTTCTACGGAAACTTAAAGAGATAGGTAAAAAATGGTATAATATAATTTAATAGACAATTAAATTGTGCATCTGATTCTCGTAAAATATGCAGGGTGTTCCATTTAAATTAAACAAGTTATTGCCGTTTGAAGCTAATAATTATTTAAAATAAATTTTTAGACACTCTGTATAAGGTAGTATTATTTTTATTATTGCAACACAATAACTGATCAGTACATAAACTTTAGTAAATATTTAGTATTAAAAACTTTGATACCCTTGGAGAAATGAAGCCTTAAAATTTTTACTGCAATTTCACAAAATTGAAAATATTTCAAAAACGGTAAGGTTTAAGTATAATAAATCTTAATCAAATTTACCTTTATTTTAATCGTAGAAACTAAAAATGTAATAATATACAAGGTGTTCCATTTAAAAAAATACAACTTTGATATTTTTTACTTATTTGGGACACTCTGTATCTTGTAAAATTATTTTTAAATTGTACCTCTAATAGTCCTTTATCGAACCCAAAACTTACAATTTGTAAAAATCTCATCGTTTAGCTACAATACTCCGTGTCGTATGTGGTGAACAACCCTGTATAGGCTTACAAGAAGACATAGACGTATCAATCCTCACAAGCTGCCTTCTGTTGCCAAGATATAACTTAAGCCATTCGAGCGGCACTCCCCTGAATCCATAGTATTGCAATTTGTTAATTAAGATATTATGACTTATACAGTCTTAGAGAAATCACAGAAAATTGTAGCTGTAGAGCGATGGTTATTCAGGCTAGAGTATACATTATTAAAAAGGTCGAACATAGCATCATTTGTGCAACTGTTACGTAGAAATCCAAATTGATGGGTAGAAAGTACTTTATATTTAAGGAGAAAAGATAGAAGCCTTTTTTTAACCAATCTCTCAATGATCTTAGATAATGTGGGCAGGAGAGCAATTGGGCGATAGTTCGAAGCTTGATCTTTATCTCCTCCTTTATACAGAGGAATAATTATTATAGCTGAGTTAAGGCAGTTTGGAAAAACTCCTTTTTGGAATGACTCGTTAAGTAAAGTAGTGAGATAGATTAACATGCTAAGAAGATGCTTATCTAGTACTGCTATCAAAAAATTCTTTAAGCTTCTTCAAATTATACCAAATTAGCTAATTCCATTCTAAATTTTAATGATTAATGTCCAACAAGAACACTCAATAAAATCTTCTTCGTTTAAATTCCATACATTTGCGGCTGTACCCACCTGAAGTACCGGTCTTTGTCGCGATGGTTCTCCCTCCTTCGACCTGTAATACCTTTCACCTTCTTCGACGGTCCTGCTGGTTCTTGCCTTGGTCAGAAGAACTACGTCTTCGTATCGTACGTTCACGACAGTGGTACTTCGAGTAGGCAGTACGGGACGAAAAAAATAATCGCTAAAAAACTCGGCGCGTCGCGTTGTGGCTTTAATTTTTGGTGTTTGAGTTTATCTTGGATTTTTTTTGGTGTTCTTTGATGGTTTTTGGATACATTTCGAAACAGTAATATGATCTCGGTAAGTAGGAACGACTAAAGAATTGGTTACAAAATGATTTTGTTACGTGACAAGTGAAATTGGTACCGCATCCTAAAAAGGCGCATATTGCAATGGTTATTTCCAGCGCTGAAGAAGTTCGTTAGAATCGTCGTACTTGGTACTGTTATGAAAGAAAATCGTTTTATTGAATTTCTATTAAGTACTTAGTTTATTTTGTCTTATTTATAAAATAACAAGGCTTTGATTTCGTACTGGTTACAACATTATCTCTTAATTGATAATAAAATAATTGTAAATGCACGAAATTTTGTCTTTTTCCACAGCAATTGTTAAAATTGCCTTATATCTATCAAAAATAATAGATAAAATAGTACTTTAACCGCAATGGTAGATTAAATGATACTTTAACAACCAGGATAGGTTAAAAACTTTATTTCTTCTCGTACGTTTTTTAATTGCTTCCATTTTTGAAAATTTTTCTATTCCTTTTCATAAGTTAATCGGGATTTTAATGGAAGTAGTTTGGATATGGCGTTTGTCGCCTCAGCCTCAATATCTGTTGATAATTTAATTATTTCGTTTTGAGCCATTTCTGGCTCAAATTCAATCAGCAATCGACACGAAAGAGAATAAAAAATGTTGATTCAAAACTGACAAATAAAGAGACAGCTTTATTTATTTGTCAAATTAGAGAGAAACCAACGCCAACCCAGCACAATATTTTTTCTACTCGTAATAAATTCCTTGAAATAATAATTTCTGAATATTTTTTAAAGCGTAACTCGCTACGGAACACAATATTATTTTATAGACTACGATAAAATTGCATTATCGTCTCTGTTTATGGATGATGGTGTCATATGCGGCGGTTAAATCAACAAGCGCGACTCCAGTGATCAGCCTATCCTCAAATCCCCTCTCGATATGCTCAGTAAGGGCCAAGACTTGCCCAGTGCATGATTTTCCTGGCCTAAAGCCAGCTTGGTGAGGGACAAGTTTTGATTCCACGATCTTCTCCATGCAACCGAGAACCATTCGCTCATACCGGGTGTTGCATCGTCGGACGGGACATAGGAAATCCCATGTAAATTTTAATGGGGTCAATTATTAGCCTCCCTAATTATTTTAGAGAATAATTCTATTTAGGTTTATTGAAGAGCACTAAAACCCATATTCAAAAGAATAACTTTAGATATTTTTGATTAGCTCGTTTACGAATACAAATATTTCTCCTTTCTTATGGCCCTGTATTTACTTATGAGCACCAGTCAAGGTAAAAGAAAGCTGTCAAATGAAGTTGTCATTTCAGAAATTTACCTATTTAGTGCTTTATTATTATTGAAAACTCATTCCTACATCGGAAATCTTAAAGATGTATTCAATTACAAGGTTAATTATAGTATACATATATTATTATTACCGTATTACAATATTCAATAACTTATTAATTTAGGTACTATTAAATTGTTAGAACTTTAGGATTTAAGAAGATGTTCAAATATTCCTCCATCGACTGCTAGACAATAACCGAGGCGATCATAAAATTCTCTTCTTACATTCGCTAGTTGGAAAACTGAAATTCTATTGCATTCGGCAGAAATAGCATTTGTTAACTCGTCTAGATTTTGGTATTTTTTATCCTTGTATATCCTGTTTTTTAAATGGCCCCAGAGAAAGAAATCATTTAGCGAAATATCAGGAGACCTTGCTGGCCAATTTACTGTATGATTTAGGCCAATAACGTTTCCGTTAAAACTATTGTCTAAATATTCCCGAACAGCCAGGGTACTATGTGCGGGCAGCCATCCATTTGGTACCAAACTTCCTGATTTTCCCTAGCGGCATCATGTAAAGCAGGTAAAATATGATTTTCGAGTAGTTTCAAATAATATTCTGCATTTAAATTTCGCGTAAGAAATAATGGCCCGATAATATTGTGTCCGAATATCCCTGCCCAAACATTTACTTTCTGTGGATATTGCGTTCTTGTTTCGACAAACCTGTGTTGGTTTTCTTTGTTCCAATATCGATAATTTTGAACACTGGGTTCATTATTAAAGGTAAACGTGCATTCGTCAGTGAAACATATGTTTTTTAAAAATTCCCTATCCGTGTTTACTCTTTCCATCATATCAAAACAAAACGCCAGCATGCCGCCGTATTTCGTCCCCATCTCGTAGCTCTTGGTGTTTTTCATATTTGAAGGAATAGTATTTATGTCGTTTCAAAATTCGAAACGCTTTAGTGTGATCTATTCCTATTTCATCCTCAAGTTTCCATGTGCTGATCTTTCCATCGTTCTCTTCCAGGCACAATAAAACTTCCAAGTCGGTATCATTTCTTGCATCTTCTCTTTGTTCCTACCTTGCTTCACATCTGCAGTTATTTATTAGGGTACCTTTGGTCTCAAATCTCTGGATATTCCTTGCGATTGTAGATTTTCCAGGTAATCGGTCTATTCGGATACAGAGCAGCAAACATGTCCGACACCTTTTGATAACTATTTCCTTGATAATACCATTTAATCATCAATACTTTTTCTTCGGTAGTGTAATTCATGGCTAATATTTTCGATGTAGGTATGAGTTTTTAATAATAATAATAAAGCACTAAATAGATAAATTTCTGAAATGACACCTTCAGTTGACAGTTATCTTTTACCTTGACTGGTGCTCATAAGTAAATACAGGGCCATAAGAAATGAGAAATATTTAAAAAGAAATCGGCGATAACTCGTAAACGGGCTAATTAAAAATATCTAAATTTTTTCTTATGAATGTGGGTTTTAGTGCTCTTCAATAAACCTAAATAGAATTATTCTCTAAAATAATTAGAGAAGTCAATAATTGACCCCATTAAAATTTACATGGAATTTCCTATGTCCCGCTCGACGATGCAACACCCGGTATAGTTTGTAGAGATGGCACAGCAGCGAGATCGGTCTATAGCTACTGGCTAGTTCTGGATCTTTGGCCGGTTTCAGGAAAGCCACGATTTGCGCCAAAATTTCGGGATTTCGTGGCTTTGGGTGCATTTTTGAAACAATTTTAAAATCCACGTTTTTGTTGCTGGGCCGAAGTTTTTAATCTGCTCGGTACAGAGATCATCTATACGCCTGCTGCCTGTTCCTATTCTTCATACTGTTTAAGGCGTTGTTGAATTCTTTTAAACTGTTTGAAAGAAAAAAATGTACTGTCTACAGACCAAACGTTGGTACTATTATATTCTTCCGATTGAATTAAGAATTACGTTGAAATAGAGAAAAATCGGCTTATGTAAGGTGCAGGAAAAAGCGACCGACGGCGTGGCGAATGGAATTTTGCAGATTGATAAAACGGGTGCGCGGTACGCGGTGCTTTTACTTCTGGTACTGCCGCTGGTGTACTGTGCTGATAATAAAATAAAATTGCGGCTGTTTGCTGGCAGGTTTCTATTGCATTCCGCGCGCTCTTTGCACTAAACCCTGAACAGCTTGAAATTAAATATTTTTCGCGTTGTTTGTTTCGAAAAACTGATCTGATGACTTTCTCTGTCATGAAGTAGTACCGTCATTATTAGGTACTTAATGTTTATTAAAATATACAGAAATCTTCAGCGGTGTAGCGTGGTGTCAATTCAAGGAGATTTACTTAATGAGTAACTGCAATTGACATTTTACCAACACAATAAAGTTTTTAAATTTGAAGTTACAAAAATAAACTATACAAAAAATAAAAAAAAATAATCAAACTAAATTTCAAAAACACTAAATTTAGGTAAAAAAAAACAAAGCCGTAAACGTGTCAGTTACAACAAAAAGGTTTATTGAATGCATTACAATCGCATAACCAGTTCTTCATCAGACCTGTTCGGTGTTGAGATTTGAACACCGGTGTTAGGTGTTGATGACCACCGGTGTTTCAGTCGGTGTACCGGTGTCAACACCGACACCGGTGTTAGGTTTATCTCAACACCGGTGTTTATCTCGACACCGCGGTGTTCATCTACAACACCGGTGTTTATCTTGACACCGGTGTCGAGATCAACACCGGTGTCGGTGTCGATCGTCGATGTCGATGGTGCCGTTTGTTTGTTTTTTTAGTTTTTTAATGTAATATTTTTTAGTTTATTTTACAGCTACGAATTTTTGTTTATGTTTTGTTTTGTTTTCTATTTGTTTTTGATTAAACAATTTTTTACAATAGTTGTTTATCTGACGCTTCTAGTTTATTTTAGTGATTAGTCTGATAGAAAAATTATATTTAAATTTGAAAACTTTAAGTTAAAGTCGGTGCGCTTTAATAAACTGTAAAAATAAGCACCAATACGACATTATTATTATCAGGTTTATTTTAAAGTTATTAATTATCATTATTTCTTCTTTAACCCGTTTACAAAACACCGGTGTCAATATCAAAACCGGTGTCATCGTCAAAACCCGTATCGAGATGAACACCGGTGTCCAGACCAACACCGGTGTTAAAACGGGGTTGCGGTGTTTGGAACAGGCCTATAACCAGCGTTCACTTTTATAAATATTTTCACTAAAATATCGAATACCCGATTTTAATTTAGTATTAATATACAAAATATGCTTTGGAGGTCCTTCAATAGTTTTTAATTTTTCTGAATACACCATAGAACTGAAGAATGATTGCAAAATTATTTCGATTTTACAGCCACACTCAGAACAGTTCATCGGGACGCACGACGATATTTTTTATTTTATATCCCGGACGTGTGTATAAGATGTGTTTAAAAAACCGCATCACCCACCGACTAAATCAGCGAGTTATCAGAGAGAATAATGAGAACAGTCGCATCATGGCTCTGTCGAGATACTTTTATTTTTAGCGTTTAGCGTAGGTATTAGCGTTATCTATAAAGCTCGACCAATACTCACATTAAATAATTGAAATTGAATTTAATTATTTGAATAAATTTAATTTTAATTTATTATAGGAGATCTCAGCGACTTTTCAGTGCATCACCCGCATCATTGAAAGCTACTCCGCTGATATTATTTGTCTCAAACCAGC